GAAGTTGGGGGATTGAATATTTTATAGCCAATATCGAATGCACAAAAAGAGCGATTTAATGGCTTTGAATTGGGGGATAATGTGGAAGCTTCGTAGCCCCGGGGGGATTTCCTTAGTGTATACTTCGTCAACCTCGAGTCACTCTTGGCATTCGACTAAACTCCAGCAGGCACAAAACAAAAAATAGTAGTACGGTCGCCGAAATGAATTCTGGCGCAAATCACCCATTTCGAACATACACTTCTCCGTTGTGTGCGCCCTCACCATGCTTAACCAGTCTTTGAACACGGATCCAGGTCGTTGTATCCATAGTCAGGACATGATCGGCGGCTTCTTAGGGACGCTACAGATTCTCGTTGAACTCGCACTGTGCAGCTATGCTGAGATAACAAATGGATCACTAAATCGCCGATATTCTTCGGCTTACCTTTCGCGCTTCCAAGCAGATCGTCGATCTAAAGCTTGTCATGATCGACGTGATCTCAACCTAACCATTCCTGTCCACGACCTAAGGCGTGTATTCGCCATAACCACCAAATCATGGCGGTTGAGAAGCGAGACAGCACCCGGGTACAGGCCCTGAGCTAGAGACACTGAGCCTTGTGATTAGCTTGTACCCCATTAGCCAGGACAAATGACATGGTATCTGACACAGGCAGATATGTACCAATTCTTATGATCACTTAAATTGTGTTGAACTACACTTGCCTCAAGAGGTTGAGCGTAATATACCTTATGGCCAACTTAGACCTGCAAGAGCTACTTGAAGCATTTGTGATCAAGTTTGATCATTTCATGTTGCCCCACGTGCACACCAACGCAAGAAGCCGGAAGGAGGATTTGCCCTCAATTGCCGGAGTGGCGGCGGTGGTGGGAGTGAGGAGCCTTTAGCCTGTGCCGCGACTTGGGCCCTTGTGGGATTCTGGCCGTTTTGAGGCTTACGTCATCTCGATTTTAGGAGATCTATGGTATAAGAGTCTTCGAAGTATATTCTCTGTTTAGAGGAGCATAGAGTCTAGGTCTTGCTTTGAGTGGCTCCTCCAGGGGAGTCCTACCGGTGCAAACACGCGAACGACGAGCACCGTTATGTCGAGTGTCCAGTAAGGTGTTGCCGTCAGGAATGGAAACGCTGCCAAGTGACGGGGCGGTGCGATGGCGTTCATTATCGGAGTTGCAAGAAGTGCGCAGTGCACTCACTGGATGGAAGATCCAAGCACGATCCAAAAACGACTATCAGAAAGTAAATGAAAAGGACATGAGCCCGAATATCAATCCTATCAGATACATCGCTTCTTTGCTGCAGCACGCCGCCTTCGCTGAGCCATGACTTCCTGGCTCCTGTGCACCGCCGGTAGCTCCTGAGGCCATGGTCTGCGTGGCAGCGGCGGCATTTTTCGCGTTGAACGGCGCCATTGTGATGGTTGACGTGTACCCTGCGTTAGAGATGGTCAAAGGGTAGGTCTGAGCGCCGGGAAAGGCCGTAAGGGTGCCGATGTCGCTCAGCGGCTTATCCATGGTGACGTTCGGCGGCGGTGCCGCGAGGTCGTAGAACTCGGTGCCGGCCCAGAGGTCCAATCCAAACGTCAGTGTGCACATGTCGCTGTTCAGGATCGGCGAGCAATTGAAGCCCAAGGCCCGTGGCCCACTTTGGATGCTGTTGGACACGACTTTCGGAAAGTCCAGGATGGAGAGGTCGGAGCCAGGGCACGTATTTATCACAGACGATGGGTTGCGTGCAGACTCGCAGCAGCTGCAATAGTCACTCGAGTGATCGTCTGGTCCGGTGGTGCCAGCGGCGACTTGAATGCATGTGGTGTCTTCGGCGTAGATGTACGTCATGTTGCCATATGCTTCGATGAGGTTGCATGCTAATGTCAAAACAGCTCTATTAGCAACGTATGCACAAACACAACGGGAAAGCAAGTGCCGATACTAGTATACCATGATGTGGGACTCAAATTCGGCGCCTGTGCGTCCGATCGAACGACTATTGCCTGTGTTTATTCTTGCTCGGCGCGTGAGGCAGTGTCTGAGACATCTGTCAAACAAGGATGCTACTCACAGCCTTGGACAAAGTTCATTGATGATGTAATTTCGCATGGTAAATGGAAAGAGGGCAATGTGTCAAGTGCACGATCAGGGGTTGGAAAAGGCCACCAGGTAGCTTGAAAATACTTACAGCAGGCACCAGGAGCCTCGGTCGAGGCCGGCATGAAGGGCACAGTGAAAGGGCCGAGTCCTTCAGCTTGATCGAAGTATTGCTATGCCATAGGTTAGTGGGAGTGTATTCTGTACGTGGCTCGATGTTAGCTCGTTCTCCCGCTTGAATTGAACAGCTTCTCTGAAGCCGGAGTGGCTGGGTACGTACCACATCAGTGATGAGACTCCCGTTCTCAGGAATATATGTCTCCGCCCTCACTGCGAGCAAGAGAGAGCAGACATGAACTGCCTTGGGTATGGACGACCACATGTTGATGCAAAGGTTATCCTATCGACGATGCAGAGTGGCTAGGGGGAGCGTTTGCTGGTTGTGTTCTCAAGGAGTAGGAGAAGCAGATGGCTCGGCGGCCTATTTATCGTCATTCTGAAGGCTGGTAGGCATAACTTTTCAGACTTGCACAATGCATCCAGGCAAGCTTGTTGGGGAAAAAACGAAGATCAGGGAGGAATCTACTCGGGCCCCACAATTAAAAATTGAAACAATCCTGTTGATCAATGTATTATAATTATCAATTCGTTCTGTATCGTCAGGTCTGAGAAAGGCATTGAAAGAGGCATTAGAAGACGTCGGCTTCGTCACAAAACCCCTGGTAATTGGCTACTAAATAAAGCCGCCTCCCATGTGTTCGGGATCGTGTGTTCGGGATCGCGTCCAAATTACCCTCAATGTTCCGTATGTGAAGTGGAGTTTAATTGGGGCTAGAACTATTGAGAAGTGGGCTACACCAGTACGGTCTGGCACTTCGCCATGGAGTGCGACGCTTAAGTGCGTAGATACGTTGTATTTTTTCTCCGGCCTGGAGTCATTGATCTTGCGGTGGATCGCAGAATTTCACATCGAGATCCAGCACATATATCTCATCACTCATATGAGCCTTAAGTGTTTTATGCCCTTGTGCACAGCGCACGGGGATGACACCTAGAGAGACCATTCTCCCGGCAGTCTGTTTGATTACGCAAGCTTTATCTTGGTGGCCCCAAATTGATGTTTCGGAATGATTAAATTGTTGATTATGCAACTGCAGAAGTCATATGACTGAGAGCTGCGTAGGAATGGAGAGTAGAGTTCGCTAACAGCAGTAGTCTGGAATTAGGCATAGGCCTCATAGACATTAACATGCTCGAGATCCGTGACTCACCGGCAGGTTCAGTGGACATGGCTGCCGTTAAGAGCTACTAGTCCGTGATAATAACAAAAAGATTATACTAGCATTACAATTTTCATTACAAGTTTTGAAACCGTCCTCATTCGTCCACATGGTATATGCCAGCGGTCCTCGGGTTATTGTTGCTGCCACATTTAAGTTTGAGGTACATGAAGCGCACACTTAACGTCAAGCTATGACGGTCCAGGTGATTGTGCTGGGTGCTCTGAAACAACCAACAACGTCTGCCGGAGGTACTTCTTGTCCCGTCTTTGACCATTTTTGATTGGCTCTGTCCAAATTAAGTTTCCAAGCATTATCAAGGAGTTCGGAGTACGAAAAGTGACGTAACTAAACAGACGTACTACTACAAATCGACTAGATCGTAGATCACCCAACCCTTTCGAGCCAATGAACGAGTGAACATGCCAAATCAAGAATGCCGTAACTACATAGGCGAACTACCACAAATCGCTTGGATTGTATGTAGATCAGCCCACCAGTTCCGGCTAATGCACATTCTAAATCTATAACAAGTAATCATAGCCGTCTCCAACTATCAGACCTTGTCTCCTTTTGGTATATAGCCGTCTCAAACTAGCAGACCTTGTCTCCTTTTGGTATATAGCCGTCTCCAACTATCAGACCTTGTCTCCTAATGATATACAGCCGCACCGGACTTCTGCCTCCCTTCTACCAAGATTAGCATTGTCCCGAAATGGGAAGCGTTACATACTTCATCGTCAGTTCTGACAGCCTACGGAGGGGCGTGCTTCAGCCTAGACCAATATCGTTGATCGTGGGCTTCTCCTCGGCTGATAATGTTGATTTCGGGCCCGAGGGTACAACAGCAGTTGTTCACGTCTGGACACGGTATGCGTTGCGTAAGACCAGTGGAGATATGCGGATGATAATTTAAGCACTTTGGTATAACGTTAATGATAATGAGAGAAAGGCTCACATCCAAAAACCACAAGAGTGGACACTCCCCTGTCGACACTGCTTGACACTCCGCACTACAATCCAGGCAATTTCCGGTTCCGGGGTTCTCATGTATTGTTGTCGATCACCATCTGTGATTATATCATGGCTTTGTGCAACACCTTTCACAGCACAATGAAAACGGTGCTGATTCGCCATAGCCACAGCTCGGGAGTTCTTCTGTAAAGGTCGTGGAGTCTACAAAGGAAGCTGTTCCGTGTCAAATGTATATGCGCTAAATCATTTATGTCAAAGACAAAGTGCTCAATGATTTGCGGTTGACCTCAGAAGATGCTGCTGGGATGCATCGTGGAAAGTGCATGGTTAAATCCGGATATGAAACGGCTCAACATGCCCTTCCTGACTTGTAAGACAAGCCATGGTGTACTTACACATCGTTTCCTTCACCCATCAGTGTCTCTCTCAATGTCTCATTCAATTTCAGTATCAGCTCTACAGTCCCAGAATCCAACAACTGGTGATGAGATAAGAGCCAGCGTCTCATCGGCTCACCTGCACTCGCCTTCTCTAGCACCAGCCCAGGCCCCACAACCTCGGGAAGATTGAATCGCGCATAGCGGAAGAGATAGACTCCAAGCCTTGGAACAAAAAATGTGTACGGACATACCACTCACCGCATTACGATATGTATCAAGTTGTACAAATTCTGAAGACCATGCGGCTAAAGGACATTCTGTCAACTTCGCCGCCCGTCCTTCGGACTTCTATGATGTATCACAAATAGCTATGCGCAATTCCAGCTTAGCATGCGCCGGGGAGAGTGGATTCTCAAAATTGGACGAGATACGCATGACCAGTCCGCCCTTTCCTTGTTCGGAGCATGGCTGTGACGCTCGATTGTTCAGTAGTTTGACTAATTTTCGGCGGCATCAGCGGGAACAGCAAGGCCTTGGCAAAAGATGGATCTGCTCATATTGTAGCAGGAGCTTCAAGCGTTCTTCAGCATGCATGCGTCACATCGACGAGATGACTTGTCGTAAGAAACGTCCCGACTGCTACGAAAACTTGGGTTTAGAAGTCATGTATTGAAAGTACAGACAAACGGTGTGGTATATTTACAGGAGCTGTATCTGACAATACATTCGATTAGGACAGATAATAGATGGAAACCAATAACAGAAGTATCCTTATCTAGAGTGTCATTCGCTGGCAGGAGTCTCGATATATTGATATTGGTTTGTCCGGTCAATGCCACAGATGCTTGTAGTGGACAGGGGCGTGATTTTCGTGCTACTGGTCGTATCCTCATCCATGTCAAATATGAAAAGAACGATATTGAAAACGGTAGCCTTGTATTTGATTGTCCATGGAAAGTTTCAACCCTTGTGAGGAGAGATATCAAATGTCATAGGATCTTGATTACAAGCAACAAAAAACACAAAGAGCAATTCAACGGATGGGAAGTAGCCCCCCGGCACATTGAAGAAAGAGTCGTTCAGATCCAGCATATTCATGGAAGGGAACTCGAATTCCATGTAGCACTTGTCTGTCTGCTGGGCCATATGAATGTCCCTATCACGGTGCAGCATCACTGAACCACTGATATCAGCAGCACTGACATTTGCAAAACATTGGCCATTCTCGATTGAGAAACCTAATCTTCATCCAATAATGTCCTGGAGGCAATTTCGCTTGCATAGATTGCTTCTTTGCTTTCTAGGCTACGCGATTCGTCTCTGAAAATAATTGTAATGCCGAATGACAGACTTGCGGCGATGTCGATATTGTCGTGGTTTGCGAGCACCGGAGATCAAGTCATTAGATTGACCGGCAGTTTTCGATACTGATGCTGGCCCTCATTTCGAACTCTGTGCAGCGTAGGGTATCTGCAGTGTGGGACGGAACTTTCTAGTATGGCGAACTATGACAACTCTCCGCGTAGAAGTCACAGAGCAGTAGGCGCACGAGAACGGTTTTGCTGCCCCATCTATTCTGTCACCAGTGATCGTTGTATAGTGTAGAGATTAAGAGAGCTGAGTAGTCGACGTGCCTCTGGCAATCAATATGCACCACGGGAGAACCACGAAGCCTGGTGGACTTGGTTGGATGACAGGTCTGCCCTTTGACTGGGATAAATTTGGCTGAATGTACACGTGATTTTGCCGCAGTTGCTGTGGGATTCCACAGCACTACAGTTCAAACACGCCAGGATGAATTCAATTGAAGGGCGGAAACCGCCAGAAACAACGTTTTCTCAAACTGCTTTGTTGGTATTTAGTTGACCAAATGATGGCCAAGTGCGAAAAGGTCTCAATTTGGCTCTAAGAGTATGTCAATTTGCGTCCCAGTTTGGTTCCATGGTTGGTGGTGCTGGCATCTGGACGGAGTAAATGTGAGTCGTACCAATGAACATATCTGCCCCCTGGCTAGACATTAAACCATTGGGCAAGCTCCCAGCCTTCCAAGATCTGTCCGGTATTACCTCTTCTCCACTCCACGACAACCAGCCTACGCCAGGCTCAAGAACCATTACGCCCTTGGTAGTCCGTAACATATCTACGATCCCAAATGGAGCTAAAGAAGTGTTAGAGAGAGTAGCGTAAGTCCCGTGCGACTTGCATGGGAGAGAGCGACTGGCACTTTCTTCCTTTCTTACTCTCTCTCAGCGTTGGGTCGCTGTGTATCGCAACACACTAACTGCATAGCTCGCATAATTCGGAACAGAGATTATCATGGAAGGCTGACAGAATCGTCGACATGGCGTGGCGGAAGGCTGACCTCGACAACCTTCCAACAGAATCTTATGATGATGTAGTCTACCTATTTAACCTCAACCACAAATTTACCAATCCCACCTTTCCCGTCAAACACCTCCTGAGCTCCGTCCTTGATACCTGCAAGATTGCTGAGGCATGTTACTCTACCAATAACGGGCCTAACCATAGCCTGGTCTAACCAGTCTGCCAGTCTCTCAAGGTCCTTGCCACTTTCGTGGGCGAAGAGATAGGAATATCTTACCTTGTACCTGCTGGCTCTACGCTGAGCAATGCTGCCAACCGCATCAAAAGCCCATCTCGCAACGACCGGCAGGTCGGGCATAACCCTCCTCAAATCAGGACCAAAAGGTAGACTGGCGATGGTAATGATCATCCCTCCCGGCTTCATCACGCTCAGGGCTCCCATGGCCCCACCCATAGTGTCGAACATGAAGTCGACAGAGCCCTTCGGTATTACCTTTGCCGGATCATTCTTGGTATAGTCGATGATTTGGTCTACAATACCGTGTCCAATAATCTCGTGCACTTTCGCAATTTTTGCTGGCGAGAGAGTCGTAATCACTGTGTCCACCTTGAAAATATTTTTCGCGAGCTGGATAGCCACGGTTCCCACCCCCGAAAGGCCGCCTGGAATGTACACTGTCCTTCCCTCCAGACCTCCTTCCAGCTCCACGTCTGCGGCATCCAATGCCTGCAGCGCAGTGAGTGACACTAGTGGCAGCGAGCCCGCCTGGACATGAGACAGCTGCTTAGGCTTCAAAGCGGTAGCAGCAGCTGTCGAGAGGGCAAATTCTGAGACTGTCCCACGACAACGCTCTGGGACGCAAGAATAGACCTCGTCGCCGGGCTTGAAGCGGGAGCTTACTGCAGGCCCGACTGCAATGACAACACCAGAGACATCGTACCCGATTTTGTAGGGAAATCTGGTGGCAGAGTAGACTTCAGCAAATGGCACGGGGGCTTCAAGGATCAAAGGAAAGCTTTCGCAGGCCAGGAGGGGTTTTGTACGTTTCTGATCGCACCATCTTTGCCACGCCGGACGCCACCTTGACGTCCACCGGGTTGATCGAAGCCGCATGTACCTCGATGAGGATGTCGTCAGAGGCTTTGATCTCCGGTTTGGGAACATTTAGGATGCTGTAATCTGCCGGAGTGCAATATCTGTGAATAGACAAGGACCGCATGGTGGACGATACAAGGGGAGCCGGTAGGGAGGGATTCGACCTTGGCACAAATGAATAGAAGACATGTGCCAGAAGCAAATAATACGATTCTTCGCGTCGAGTGATATAATCCCTCAGTAACGTTAACACCCGTTCCAAGTAAGGCCGTGTTGAAAGATGCCGAGGTCCCGAGCATGGTGGACGTCGGCTCGCATCCACTGGCGCATGACAGATTGTCACTAAAATTCACGGGCCAAACAAGGACGAATCTGCAACCTCCGCTCGGACGAAGCAAAGTCAAGCAACAAGGTATACAGAGGGGGCTACTGGACCGAGATGACAATCATTACCCCTGAGCAGCTCCCAACTCCAAAGGGAAAGCCTAATGAAACCATATGTGGGAGTGCAAATGGCCTAATTATATGAAGGAGTGGACAGGTATAAAGCTCGCTTTGCTCAGTCAATAGATTCGTCCATAGAATACGGGAAACGGTGAAGGCAAAAGCTTAGATGAAAGGGACATATTTGCATCTCAGAGCTGAACAAACCTACCATCCGACGTCCGCCGGGCCAAAGGTCTGACCAGATCCTGTGGTGTGCCCTGCCATCATATCTCCTCACGCGACAAACATCACCTTCATCCTCGTCCCTGGATCCTTCATCACACCAATCAGAGCGGGCCGCTGGTCGCCCACCACGTCACATGCTATAGGTTCTACCACAAGTACTACAGTTCCCAATTCGTCTTTATGGCCGACATCCTCGAATGGACTGCCTGTGACAGTTCTTCATCCACCTCCCACTTCCAACGATATTCAAGGAGTATCAGACCTGAATGTTCCTCCATATACTGGGTTGTATCGATCTGCAGCCCTGAACCATTCCCACTCGGCGTGGGACGAATGGGCGACCATCTTGCCAAACAATGGATCATCATATTATTATGACATTGATTCATTTTTACAATCGAACTATAAGAGTTCTATATTTAGATCCTATTGTGACGGGTCGAGTTTCACACAGTCATAGCAAATTCACATGTGGACAAAAATCATAATCATCTCTGTATAACATTGGCTGTTTCTTGGTCTATGTGAATTCTAATACAATGATTAATACTCTCTATACTTGGATCAGCTTCGTTGGCGAGGATGCATTGTCTGCACGACATTCACCTGTACTAATAATCTTTTCACTCCAGGGTGCTCGTCAATATTAATGACAGAACGTTTGACCATCTCTTTATAAAACTTGAAAGGGCATGATTGGTCTGTTTAAGTAATGCGAGCTCACGTTTGACCGAACTTGGCACCGCTCGAGGGGCGTTTCTGAGTCTCCCGTCGCCGTCTTTGTCAAAGATGCATTCGGTCTTGTGCATTCTACATCTTTCACATTGGTATCTGCCTATTATTGTGCACTAAACACAACATGCAGTGTCTAACGCGGACTCTAGGGTGTTTGGTGAAAGCTGCTTTGGCTATCTCCTTCAGTATCCAGAGTCGCTTTCTCTGGTCCACGGCACTGCCTGCATGAGGTGTTCCAAGGAAGAATTGAATATGGAGGGCGGATATCTAAAGTTCCTCAGTCCTCCGCACAGGCAGCCGTGGGGGTCGAGCCGGGTTTCAACAGGACGGGAGGGTTTAGTCTCGTTGCCATTCTGTTTTAGAACCAATTAAAACTTTGCCGACAGTTCTTGTCGGCGCCATTTTATTGGTAGAAGCAATATCGAGCCGAACCTATTTGGGACACCCCCTAGCGTTCCGGCGAACCTACCACGATAAGATAGCTACCTGAACGAAACACAAAACCAAGTCATTCGTCTCTAACCTTAGGTGCGCGCGCCGGCGTTTTGCAGTCTTTCCACCACCTCCATATGACCACCTGCCGCCGCCGCTTGAAAGATCACTCATGTAGCGTCGACAATGCTGGACCGTGGCTTCCTTTGCAAAGGAGACTGTTGCGTCATGTGAGTATGCCCGCAATATCGAATACCACAATTACAAGCACGTCATTGATTACTGATAAGTGTACTACGCGTTAGAGTATGTAATGACGCATTCGGAGAGAACTCCGCTTCTGGAAATGCTCATGCAGAAATCTCGATTCCTCAACATTAACTGCGGTTTGCTCACATCTCGATGGCCCAGACGTGCGTTCCATTTTCTATCTTCGCTTCTGTTGCATATCTTTGTCCAAATATTCACAGTACACCGGCAACATTTAGCCACATCTCTTCCATTTCTTTGGGACGCGGGTCCCTTATGTACATGGCCCTTATCCTCAAGGTGTCCTAACGTGTGCGTAGCATAGATGTGAGAGGCAGAAAGAACAGAGCAGGGAAAATTATTATCTCACGAACGCTATTTGTCCGCCTTGGGCTGACTAATCGCCACTCTTCATCAAGGATCATGAATGTTTTGATTTTCTGCGCCGACTTCAATTCTCGTTCCCTGATGCTGCAAGTCATTGAAATTGGGCGGCGCTGAATATCGGATAGTTTCGCTTCGTAGATAAATGTGTGGTCACTTTACGTAACAGAAGGTGTCTCCTATGAGGTCCGCCATCCGGCACAAGACGTCTTGAGGCATGCTTGGAGTAGTTTCCTAAGGTATGTAAATGAAGCTGATACAGGAAGAGAGATATCTGGATTTGAATGCATCGTTGGAAATGGAAAGTCCGAGGTAAATTATCGCACTTAGAGAGAGGGCAGTATTTACGAGCGGCGGAGGTGAGTTCCTTCCTTTATTTAATTTTCGAAGGTTTTACATCTAGCAGACACTGATCTCCCTACATTGCCGAACCAGATACCACAATATCCCTCCACCCTCTAAAACTCCACAGCTGGCGTTGTGTAGCCTATGGGGTGTTCCAATAGGCCGAAACCTTCTTGTATGAGATCTTGGACTTGTGTCTCTGTGCGACAAAAAGGAGGAGGGCGATGACCTCGAGAATGAGCACGATAAGAGAAGCAATGAAGGTATATCCCTAGTAGCGGGAGTTAGTGCTACCGTCTCGAAATACGCTTTAGTCAAGAACAGGGGGAATCATGCGTGGGGGCTGAGCGCAGACTGACCATTCCGTTACACAACGTAACCCATGCAATCGGCCCTTTCTGCGACTTCCGATGGCACGACCAGCTCCAGATATCCCATTTTGTACGATTCTTGGGACCTTGGTTGTCGGCAACCTTAAAGTAAATCACTGAGGCTGTCCAGGCGATAATGAGAACTGTCGAGGTGATATAAACGCAAGTTGTACGCCACGAACTCTCTCTCACAGAGCGGAACTGGAGTTGGGGTCAGCACTTGCTATCGATGCTCTCAGCACAGGTCGAGGCTCACCAATGCGCACAAAGTCATCAGTGAGAGCAGATGTATCAGAACTGCAATCAGCGAAGCTAAGAGGATGGTCCAAGTTGGCCAGATGTCGATCACGGCCCAGGCGGCGGTCTGCAGATCGGTGCTGTTGTTGCGAAAGGTTTCATGCCGAGTTTTTAGCCAGTGGGAGGCCGCATAGACTTGGCAGGCCAAGATCGTGGTAGCAAGCACCAGCACAACAAGTCGCAGTGCCACTCGGACATGATGAAGACCTCGTCCCCCACCACTGGTCCGAGGCGAATATTTATAAGAACACGGAAGGGATCGGCTACCTTGGTCTCCCACGAGAGGCTTTTCTGCGGTGTCTTCGTCTGCGCCTCGAACGTGTTTATACTGTTCGTACGCTGCTTCTCGTTGGGGATTCATGGTTGAAGTCAAGAGACTCCGGTGCTATGAGTCGTGAAAATGGAACAGAAGGGCGTCGGCTTGTGGAGACTGTGAAGTTAAGAAGGTGCGATTATAAGTGTTTCGAGCAATCAATATCCCCACGAAATGAATAATCTTCACGGCTCGCCAACAGGAACACTTGAACAGTCCTAGTTCCCGGAATTGCAGCCAAAGCTCGAAAATATCAGGCTCGGACTCCCTATTTAATTGAAAGATAACCAGAAATGAACACGCTTATCTCTCGGTTAAACCAGGATCGGTCCCGATAGCGGGATCGAAGAGCTTGGCTAAAGCTTGGCTAAAGCTTCACAAGTGCTTATTTCTGGCCCCACTGATAGTTTCAGTACAGTCAGCGGTGGAAAGGTAAAAATCGTCAGCCGAGGAGGGAGCGCCACAGCTAGAGCTACTCATAAATGACCCAAGTGCCCAATTCGTTCTTTAGGGGCGCGCGCTCCCTCCTCGGTCATATGCCGAATTTCTAACTTTTCATTGCTGACTCTAATGGACTAGGGATGCAGGTAAGCATAGGTCCGGCATCTGCAAGTTAAAACGCTTGCTGAAACGGGCATATACTCAGCTAAGACGATTATTTTCTGGTCAGTGCATCTGAGTTTCCTTGTCTAACCCCACCCCTATTCTGCAAGTGTTTATATTTAGGCCAGGTTAGTACTTGAAATCTCACTATGTGGCGTTGCATTATATTCCAACATCCTTGTACCTTCGGGGGTCGAGGAACACGACAAGAAGCTAGTCATACTTAAGTATTCTGGCGGCAGAGAATCTGGGACAATATTGTCGCCAGATCTCGGATTCTGTTCCTCTCAACTATTTTCCATTGTGTATCTCTGTCAGCATGAAGTTTTCTTATTCTTCCCTCTTTCTATCCTCGAGCTCCGCGTTGGCTGGCAGTATCTCGCTTCTACCCTTCAGTGACACAGATTGTGGCGGCACGCAGCTTCAAGACATTCAGTCCAACAATGCAAATCCTCAGGACACCAGTAACTGCGTTTCTCCGGGACCGTATCAGTCCGTCAACATCGTGAGCGTCGACTCAGGATTTCAGTGCAACGTCTACTCGGACAACCAGTGTCAAGACTTTCTCGAATCCTTCACGTCAACAGGATGCACGACTGTGGCCGGCTCCGGGGTAATATGCTTCAGTCAAGCTTTATTCGACAATCCGCTCGCCGAGACGCTAGCAACGGTTACTGTCGGAGGTCCAGTGTTGACGGTTAATGGTGGAGGAGCTGGCGCTCTTATCACTGAAGCAGTTTCGAGTGCCTGCACCAACGGCTGCAATCCCAATAATCCATTCAAACAAGGTTACAACCATCTCAATGTCGAAGGCACTCAATCCGTTGCCATGACCGGAACCTTCACCTCCAATAACCAGCGCGACTATATGGCCGCGCTGCTACAAGGGGCCATGACCGCGGCGCTTACGAACCAAAGAGAAGACCTCTGTTGCTCGCCCGAAACCGACGACGTCATTGTGGACAGTCCTACCTTCTTCCAAGTCGTCCTGACTGACCAAAATACACAGGCCGTCCAGGCTCAGATGACGGCGACTATCACCATCACCAGCTCTCCCGGCTCGACTGGGATCGATTGTGGATCTACGCAGGCGTCGGTCACCTCTTCCGTGCTGGGTGCCATCCCAGGCGTGGGTGGTCTCCTCGCAACTGCTTTTACCGTGGCTTGTGTAGTTGTCGCATCCGGATCCTGACGTCTCGGAGTCAATGGGATGTGGGACTGTTGGTGATCTGCTTTTTTAATATTTTGGGGACAAGCGGCGGGTCAAGTCTTTCTAGTGCATCGGAGTGACTGTAGCGCTGAATAGGAAGATACCTAGGTAGCGCTTATTGGTCTTTTGGTGTAGAGACCTGCGGCATATTAGTGTCCTCTGTTGGGGACTCGCTCCCAGTATTGAATCCCGTGTCAAAGATGTCTCCTCAGGCTGGAGTGCCTCACTAAATAACACAGTCGTATTTCCGATTGTTATTAGGGTCAATAGGTTCCCGCAACGACTTTCATTTTTCCGCTCGACATTGGAGCCACAAGATGCCAAGACCTGATTACAATGAGGCGCGGCTATACGGGCAAACACACCATGCGCATGGCAATTTGCGACATCGGCTTACTGATCGACCGATGCCATTTACCGATGCCAACCAATTCTTAAAGAATTTCAGCTGACTGCTATTCATTTTGGAAGTGCGGCTGGTATCACGTGAGGGAATCCTCAGCACAGATGAACGAATGCGTCGCTGCTCGTGTGGGCTGGAGACGCTGAGTGAACGAGCTGCGCGTGATTATATCGAGTTTTCCTTTTTGTACCGCACAAGTAGTGCTGCACAGACTTTTGAGGGAGGTTTGTGGTGCTGCTGAAAAGGGTGTTAGGGGGTTCAGCCAGACTCAGACACGAGTCGGCGCTTACGCAGCTACCGATCTGTGTTACAACAATGTCGTGTCGCAGATTAGGCACAGCTTCATGCTGAGAGGAGGGGTGTGGCAGGTTGTCGACGCAGCACTTCGCATGCAGTAGTGGGTTGGTTGATGGTCTGCCTGGATGGAGGTTGACACACGATTTGAAGGCTCAGGCGCTAAGGCATGGTTAATTGGACCAGAGCGCGCCGAGCCTTATTAGCGTGCTATAGGGGCTGATCCTGCATCGTTCTCGGGGTTAAACGACGCGGAGTAAATGGGCAACCATGGGCAAAAACTTGGAGTGCTTGGCAGAAGGTGTGGCACGCGTCAGCAGACAAATACCATCATGGAGAGTTAATCTTTACAAAGGACCATCAACCACAGCATGGACTGCTTTGTGCAGCGTATACAGGATATCGCCATCGGCGGCAGATATCACCTGGTGCGGAAACTGGGATCTGGTTCTTTTGGTAATGTGTATTTAGGTATGGCTGCGTTCGTGGATGTCGAAAAGATCTCACAATTCTATAGGTCGTGACGCTGAGACCGGCGAAGAAGTGGCCATGAAACTCCAACATCACAGTGTTGTGCCGTCGTTGCTTGGGACGTCATTGATAAGCAAATGGGTTTATGCGGCGAGGTACGGTATACAGAGAAGTCGTATGCTAGACGAAGGCAAAAGCCCACCATCAAGACCGACAAATTCAAAGGGTATGACACTGTGTGAGTATCTGTTTCATCATATAATGTCATAGTTGTCGTCGAATCAGCTAGAGTAGTATGATGGACTTGTTTGTTACGGCATGGTGAAGAGCAGAATGCAGAGCCATTGCTCTGATGGTCGCAGGTCGAGCAGAAGTCGCCGAGGGAGAAGTCCATGTTGTTTAAATTAGGTGAGGACCCGAGGACGGATAGGGGAAGGACAGAAGGAGAGTACTTGTGGGAGTTTATACTGTTAAGATAAGGTTGGGTGCTCAGCGTTCGACAAGACCAAATTGTCTTGGCCAGACGCATGATCCTGGGATCGTATTCAACGAGAATAGAAACGATGATTTGAGGAATCACACTGGACAGTCGAGGGGGCAACAGCGGGCATAAGGGTGGTAGGTTGTAGCACGAATCTTCATCACAGCCACAACACGAAGTCCAACGAAAATCGACTAACCGAACGAAAATGCACCCATTAATAAATGCACCCATTAATAAATGCACCCATTAATAAATGCACCCATTAATAAATGCACCCATTAATAAATGCACCCATTAATAAGTGCACCCATTGATAAGTGCCTCCGCGCGCAAGGAATATGAGAGGAGAGGTCTGTGCCAAAGAAGTGACCGAGCTAAGATACCTGGTCAGGTGACAAAATTGCATCGGCGATCGAATTGTGGGCTGTACGCCACTCACTGCACCTGCACCCTTTCGTACACGCCATCGCCGATTAGCACATTTCACCCAAATCTTTGACTACGGTACCGGAAAGATTGTAAGCTATCTGTCGGGAACACCATTGGTAGAGGTCCTGATGGTGATAAATAAAATGAGCGGACTCGCCACGCTAAAGTGCATGTTATGCGCGCTCTTGAGCTACTACTGAGCTACTACGGCGAGGAGTCTCTATGACTAGCACATAGCAACACTTGATCTCACGAATCTTGGATTATCGACAGGTTGACATGGGTGAAACCTCCTTTCTACGTGTGTCTCAGCCATGATTTTGGGAATAATATATAACCTCAACCTGGTTGCTCCAACCTGTACTCTACTAACCCTAATCCACACTCCTCAAGTGTACCAAATCCAGCCCTGATGTCTCTTTCAAAACCACGCATCCAACTTAAATTTGGGATATCAAGCTTTTCCAAATCCAAAGCCTGCAAAGCATTTAGGCTGTGGAACTTTCACCTCCTGCCCGTGATTGTTCAAAAACTCGGAGACATGAACTGAGCTGAACTTGTCAAGATGCACGGCGTGCGATGTTCTCGTTGCATGAAGAAAACCGAAGAGCCGTGGGAAATTCCATATTGAAAAATGGTCTAACCGAGCATAAAGCGCGAGGAGATAGAGGGGCTTTGATTACATGTTGATTCGGCAATTTTTTTAGTTGGCGCCTAAGTGCTAACTTCTGGAGCCAATCGTCTACTAGTAATACTTCAGAGGTATTCTGATGTCAGGAGTTGAAGCATGGCTTCACTCATTTTAAGCTACTTAAATTTGGTGGTACATATAAGGACCTGGGATGTTTCCATTCCCATTGATTTCTGGATGATTGACTATTCTTTCTACTTGACATTGTGTATATCATCATGGATGTTGACAAGATCAAACCCTTCCATGACACTCGCGTGCCTCTGCGCACCGCCTTCCTCAATGGACTGGCCTACGCCTACCTCTATTCCCAACCCACGCCCTTGATAATTCGGCGAGGCTCTGTCGAAAAAGTTCAGTGGTACTCCCGTTGACGGCTTCGTTTTCCGTTCACGAAACGAGCTCTCACCGTTTCACCGTAATTTTACCTGCTGATGATAATGCAGTACTGCATGATACCGTCTCGCAAGAGGATTATGAGGTGCGCAAGTGGACAAGATCATCCCAATCCACCATACATGTTCCATCAACGAGTGGGCTAATCTCAGAAGCGTAAGCTACCGTATGTCAGCAGTGAATCACCACGCCGTTGTCGGTCGTTTCTTACTCTGAGCGACATGGCCTAGAAATAATCTCCACCAACTCGAATCTATATACTCGAGGGGATTTATGTTCAGAAGGAGGCATAACCCATTCACGATCACATGGATTCCACAATCGTGGTTATTCGTTTGTGCCGCACAGCCCTAGCCATTTAGTATCCCCCTAGACTGTTACGTGGCATAACACACCATTTCAGTGGGTTGTTGGAGGGTCAAGGAAGGTAGACGGGCAATCGCTCTCTTCATGAGCTCGGGGATGGTCTTCGCTGAAGTCGTCAGAGAGTCATAAAAGTAAAAAGAGGCTGACCGCGTCTCATCCCATTTTATCGAGGTAAGCACCCAATGATTATTATTGACGAGAAGAGGGGCAGGATTAATGTCTGATCGCTGGCCAGTCTTGGAGAACACTTGGAATCAGCATCATATATGATTTGCGATAGGATCTGATTGCGGCACAGAGTGAACAATTGTAAGATATCAGTTATCTGGCTTCCGCTCAACCATGCTTTTGTGCCCTGGTTTTGACGATTCAGCCTTATTCCTGGCTTTATACCGATTGTCTTTGAACTTTGCCCTCCATAAAGGACTGAAAGGGACGAGTCGCTACCTTCCAGGAGCAGGCGCTGGCTTGCGTTCACGGGTGGCATCGTCAAAGTATCTCGCTCTGTTGTGCAATTGTGTGAGTTTAATGCGGTTGAGGCAGACCTGACTCGCTAAGAAACTTGCGGATTGGACCTTGATCCTAATTCGCGGTGGATCCAGTGTCGCACCGTATTTAGCGCGCTGAACGATAGCTGCTTCACCCTAATGAGGGGCAAGGTTGGTTGTTAAGCTTACTTCTGACGCATTTGAGGCTTCTGATCGGGAGAATAATGGCAGACACTCTTTGTTCAAATTGTTGTACCTTGAACCCGTTTTTGATGGCATAGATGATCTTCGACTGATTGCTTCCAGATAAAGGTAAATTGTCCTACTAAAAGCCCTAGTACACAATCAGAATCTTGGCAGTCTAAATTTTGAAAATCTTATCTGTGTGTAAAATCAGCTGGGGGTGATAAGAGTTGCCTGGCCTCTTCTCTGAAACCTAATTAATCATGATCGAAGGTCGCAATGGAAGCATTTAAATCTTTGCTTAGGTAAAGAACTGCAAAAACCATCTTTCACATATGAACTGCTATGTCCTGACACTGCGCTCCACGCACATGGGGACTTCGGGTGTGCATTTCCACCCCATGACTTATTGCCTCGACGCCGTTGGATGAGATTGAGTCTCCCCAGAATTCTTCCTGTTATCTCGAAATCGAATTGGTTCTTCAGCTTCTCCATATAGGTTCTTGCTTGACTCACGGTGAAACTTGGCATGTCTTCCATATCTTCCATCGATAGGAGACGTTCCGTGACAAGATGCAAGACTTGCCAGGCGAGCATCAAGATGGCAGCGTCGACTTAGGACTCATTCTTTCGAAGCGGTGACGAACAGCCGCCAGTGGTAGAAAATGCGTAAGTGAGCGGCAAAGGACACTTCGAGCATGGTCCTAACAATTCTTGGCTCGATTGAACATAATTCACTCAACACCTTATCAAGAAGGATTGGTGTTACAATATGTCTGTGAGACAGTCGGAAGCCTACATAAGATGGAAGACTCCTGCTTGGGACTGAACATCCAATGACACATCGCGGGCAGCGAGAGCAGCCGGAAGATTATATGTTACCCCAACACCATCATTTAGTCCGTGGCTTGTCGTCCCTCAAACGGTCACTGGGTTTGTCATTCCTCTTGCCGTACCCTGTAACCTTTCACTCTTTGATGTCCATAACTTTTTTGTCTTCTTGCAAGTGGCAGCAAAAGTGGGAGAGTCTTCTGGTGATCTTCGCCGCTTTGCCACTTGAGGTCGTTCACTCAATACTGAGAGAGGTTCTTCATCCGAGTTATCGTCCTGGCTGATCTCGTTTCCATCATCAACCTCTCTTTCCATTCCTGATTCTATACTTGGAGTTGAAGTTGAGCGTGCAGATTCTACGCGTTGGAGCGGTGAGGATGCATGAGATGTCTGTCTTTGTCCATCAATGTCATTCACTTCCGCAGCCAACGCCATGCTCTCTTGAGCTAATTGCTGATACTCCGTAAAATCGAGAGAATCACTGAACGTCCGATCCTGATGTATCTTGACGATCCGAGGGAAGCGTAATGTCAAGAAGCGTTGGTCCGCCGGACGATCAAACCCGGCCCCCACGACTTCGACGACCGCCGGTTCTACAAAAAGCTCACTTGGTCGACTAGGGGCCACGAAATCAATTTGAACCTCCATTTGGCTGATTGACTCCGCGAAAGGGACTTGGTGGAATACACCGTAGCGATTCAGATACCGAACATCGGCCATCGACAGGCAAGGTCGAGTAACACTGGTCACTATCTGAAAGACCGGTTTAGCCTCTGAACGCAACATCGCCTCCTTGTTGCTCAAGCAGGCCAGGTAGAAAGTTGTCCACCAGATACCCTTTTCGTTCTGCGCCCAGAATTCTTTTGTGTCGTAACGGCCACCTACAATCACCAAATCGGCTGAATCGCCTAACCCCGGAATGTAATCCTTCTTCAGCTTGATTTGCGGCACATCGCCGTGAACTGCGAAGTATGGAGCTTCGCAATCTTTAATGACCAGGCCTTCCCAGCCTCGGGCAATGGCGGACGCCATTTCCTCCCCAAGACGAGTCGCACCGTCGACCTTTCTCAAATCGATTTTTACCCGGTGACCGATGTCGGCTCGGCCAGGGATCCGATGAATTGTGGCCCAGAGCCTCCGACGTCGGACATTGTGTGGCTCATGAAGACACACAATGTCGTCAAGGATGAGAAGATCGTAGAACATGATCATCAGGTGCTCATCCTCGCAAGGAGGTGAGTCTCGACCACATCCCAGTTGGCGCCCTTCCCGGGAAACATAGCGACGGATCTTGTGGAACGGCATGATACAACGCGTGCGATCATTCCACACCAATAATTCTCCAGTGAGGACGCATTGTCGCTTGAGTTTGCAACCTGTCGTACCAATGGCTAAACACTGCCGAATTGTGGCATGGAGGTCTTTTCGATCTTTGCTGGAATCTCGTCCGCTCTTGGAAAAAATGGTGATATGAAACTCACCACCCTCTATCCATACATGGATCTGACAGTATTCGCCGTCATATTTTCGCTCCACACTGATCTCATTGTTGCCGGCGAGTTGACGGCAGTGTTTGAGGATCCGAGCTTTTTGAAAAGGTTGCAGAGCAATCATCGTGCCGGCCCGGGCTGAAGCTGAAGTAATATCTCCTTGAGCTGTTTTCCTACGTCTGGATGTGGGTATAACGGCATCCGCTGGGTGATATCGCAATCGAGGAGCTCGAGTGCATCGATAAGGTTGGTGCGAAGTCTAAGGAGGTCCGGCATCAAGAAGTGGAATTGCTGGAGAATCACCCTTTGTGGTATTTCCGCTGGCCGCAAATCTGTTCTTGGAGTGCGCTGTGTCCAAGGAGGTAGTTAGCGGCACAGTGGGTGCCCAGGCGATCTTTGTGGTAGCAAGGGAGGAAGGGGATGATTCGGCGTGGGTGTGTTTGTACTGGAGGCTAATCGTGGAGGAAGATGTGCATGTAGAGGCCGATCTGGTGTTGACCTTGACCGACGACTTTGACTTTTGATGAGCAAAACAGTTCTGGTAGAGGTCCACTTGGAGGCGGTCCTGACGGAGGCATGGCGGCAGGGGCGATGGAGGGCATGCTTTTCTGCCCCTTTATATGCCGATTCTTACGTGGAGGGTTACTCAACCTCACTTTGCTTGGAGCTCTGGAGATAGTTTGGGGGATTTCCACAAGAGTAGTCTCGATGGAGGACTCGTTGGTTGTGTACGGAGTAATTTTTTGACACTGCGATATGTGTTTATTGGTTACAAAACAAGCTTGTAGATGTCTTTCCCCAACAAGTGGTGATCTTTGTGTCTGATCTGGTTCTTCAGTAATGGCATTGGCTGGACTTGTGACCCTGTGGCCTTTGTAGCATGGTTTGGACAACGATGGCTTCCTCCGAGTCAAAGCATTTTCCTTGAGATTAGGAGACATGCTATTCTCCAAATGGTCACTCGAAGAGGTTGCTGTGCTAGCGGGACTGTGAATTTCCTCGAAGACACTTCCAAGTCTGATGTTCCCGAGAAGAATAATGTCGTTGGATTACATGACTGATCCTTGTCCTGCAGACGAGTCTCTCCTAGGAAACAAGCTATAACCTGCTGTCCTCTTAAACTGGGTATCTGTAGGTGAACACTGGGTCACGCTTGAAGAACTTCTGCTTCTCATACTCGTTGGTGTGACGACACTGAAGTGTTTGGTTGAGTCGGAACTGGTTGTACCTCAAATCTATGACGGCCTGAAGTCTTTCTCAGATGACCTGGTGGTGGTAGGGGGGCGATTGTAGAGATTGGCCTTGTCTGATACGTCGAATATGCAGTTGGCTGAACAAACAAAGAGTGGTCAATAACTCCCTGCCCACTTATGGATGTCAATCCTTGATGTTGAGCGGCATCTGGTCGTCCATGAGGCTGCAGAGGCTTCGGGACCAAGGACTCACTCTTGCGCGGAGTTTCCAAGGGACGGTCATGTTTTGGCAGCGATTCTGGAAAAATTCCCGCACCGACTTCATCAACCCCAGGACCTAGAGTCCGTATTTTCAGCTGATGTAGCACACGGCGTCAGTGATCTCCTGAGACACGAGAACGGCCATATATTGCTGAGCACATGTAGACTTAGTGGTGTAGAATTGAATGATGCCTGTTGCGACATCATAGGGCGTGCCCAATGCTAGCCCCTAAAGACCACGATTTTTATTCCGAAGAGTATCCATACGGATTGTGATTGGCTTTTAAATGATCCGTAAATTGCGAGATCGCACCGGCTTTTTATTGAACAATGAAATACGACGTTGTTGCCTGATACCAACGATGGTGCAATTTCCTCCCACCAACGAACACAGTCCCTACACCAACAAATCACCCAATCAACGACCGCCCTCCCAGCGCTCTCATCACAAAACCTCGCTCTGCAATCCACGCTACAGACGTTATCCCAAGAACTAACCCACCTGCAAACCCTGCACACAACACTGACGTCGAACCTGAACCTCCTCTCAACATCGCTATCCAAGTCCGATAAAGTGATAACGTCCGCGCACGCGCGCTCCGCCGCCAACGACGTAAACACCATAAGTAGAAAACCTGAAACTCGACCTGAAACCTACCGATGTGACGGCTCGTATCAAACGCAGGGAGTCCTACTTGGTAGACAGCTCTATTATTCAGGAGATTAAACTGCCGAGAAGAAGAGAAGAGGATCGCTGTCGAAGACAGCGAACTATGTACAAAGATACCAACGAAACGAGGCTGCGCCAGGACGGATTCGAAGGTTGGCTAGAAATGCGCTAGCGCGAGGCTAGGAGCGATTCAATAATGCCTCCATAGTTCCCAATTGCAACAAGCGAAGCCCGGTTTTAAAGAATATATTAAAAAAGCCACCCCGGGTTAATGTCACGAATGCCAAGGCTTAAGAGTATCGCTTGGCAACGCATGCGAACTCCTTGAGATCCATATGCGTTCACTCTTCGTCGAGTCCGTCAGATCGATAAGCACACACCCTGCTCTAGCCTCCCTTGTGCAACACAACGTTGGAGATCAATTTCGGTGATGAGTATTATTACCTTGGCATCCCGTTAGTCGAACATCCCACGAGCCGAGGAGCCGAGGAGCCGAAATTGAGAGCCTGACCAGGAACGTTTCCTAGTGGAAACCTATGATGTGTCAAAAGCCACTTAAAGAGACCAGTAGTCGATGTGGTTGATAACCAAATTGAATATTGTCTTCACTGTCATATAGAGGGTGATGGAGAAGCAAGGTGAACCCGGTATCAACAAAACCAGAAGAGTGATCTTACCTGATCTTGAAAAAGGCTTGGAATATTTCTCAAAGCTGGACTGGGCAAAGGAGTTAATCAACAATGATAACTACGAACCTGCATCAATCTCATTCCGCGAGGGCATCGATAGCCTTGGCGAGGACACATTTTTTGGCTCGACATTGAAAACACCACAGACATTGTCACATTGGATATGCTTAGTACATCGAACATTTCCAGACAATATCAAGGACAGGACACTGACAGAACAAAACCCTCACCCTCAACCACCTCTTATTTTTTCGCCCGACTGTATCTTCCTTGTCAAGCTAGGAACTGGCCTTTGGGGATTTCGCGACACGATGCACGGAGGCGCCATATGCTCCATCCTCGACCAGACCATGAGCCTTTGTGCTGGGGCCCATCGGAAAAGAGTCCCGGAAGTCGGAGGAAATCTACATACTGCAACTCTTCAAGTAGACTTCCGCAAGCCCGTCATCGTCCCAGCGGTAGTCTATGTTGAATGTTGGATGGAGTATAGGGACCGAAGAAAATGGATGATCAAGGGTTGCATCAAGGATGCAAGCGGTACAGTGCTTGCTGAAGGCAAAGGACTTTGGGTCTTGACCAGGGTGGTGAAACTCTCGAGATTGTAATGCTGAGAACACGCTGTTTGTGCTGTTGTGAGTTAGTGTTATATAGAAGCCCCAGGATAAGTCTGGTAGATTGCCTAGAGTTATATCACTTTGGAAATATGAGAATGGACACCAAATATCCAACACACCCAAATAGTGCTCGATGTATATGACACAGTCTTGATGATACTGAGCCTGTGCTCGATGCCCCCCATCAGCCCGCTACTATAGCTATCAAGATGAGGCTTTTTTGAAGGTCAACCCTAATTCGCGGAATCCCGGATCAACCTGCCTAATGAGTCCATCACTCGCTCCACCCAGTTACCGTCAACGACACCCTCCAGCCAGGAGAAGCCAATATTGAGGTGTCCGTCGGCACCCGTCACCAACGAAGCTTCAAGCGGGGCTCCCGCCACATCTGCACTCTGGCTGAAAACAACTTTTCCGATCTCCCAGCTGGGACCAAGACCGTCACCTTGGTCAGGTGCGGTCTTGAAAACCCCAACGTTAGAGAACTCGAAGCTCTCATCTCTAGGCTTGCCGATCTTGGATCGGAAAAAGTTGTGAAGATTGCCGGCAAACCGTAGCAACGCAACGTGACTGTCCTTGCCTTCTTTCCGCAGCTCACCTTCAATGGTGGCTCTGATTCGTCTAGCCTCATCCCAAGAGAAGAGAGCTGCAGCGTCGGTCGTCGAGCTATTTGGGCGGCGATGTTCCTCCAGGTAGCGAGACACCCAGTTGCCAATAGAGTCTTCATCGACGACGTCGTGCGGCAGCCACTGTCTTAGCGACACGGCGCCGTCAACACGGAGAGTGGAATACTTGTCTGCTGGAAGCTCGGCCAGCACCGCAGCGGCCAGCATAGCCTGGACGGCCGCAGTGACGCTAGTGCGATGTGAGCGACAAATCACTATGAGGCTAGACGTTGTGTCTTTCGAGAAGTAAAGTGATCGGTAGCGCGACCTGCGTTTCGATTGGTCGACGGTAATGGGTATAGACGTCCATAAACCCCTCGGAGGGTGGGCCACAAACTCAGAGTAAAGTGACTTGAAAAGGTAGCGCAGGGAAATCGGTAGCGGATGAAGATCTTCCAGACACGGAATCAACATTTTGTTGGAGGGTCTCACGATCGAATCGACAGTTGACCTATCCGAATCCGGTGATCTGGCCGCTTTCTGCAATTTCGTGAGAAAAGATCGGTGGAACACCAAGCCCGAGGTGCCATCACATATCGCGTGGTGATAGACGAAAGTGACAACGAATCGAGAACAAGGCTCCGGCTCATGAACGATGAGTACTCTCCACATTGGAAGCACACCATTTAAGGATTTGAAATTTTGATTGTGCTCCTCCTCAAGTAACTGATCAAGCTCTTTGATGGCAATGGGTTGGGACCCATTTTGTATTAACCGTGAAGCAATGAAGCGGACGGACTTTTCGAGGTCGATTTGTGGCAGTCGCACAAAATAAGGTGAGGTCGTGCCCTCATCCACTACACAGGCTGCGAGAGCCGCATGATCTTCGATGACATCGCTCAAGGCGCGATGCACGAGGCCACGGAGAACCCCAAGGGACACACCCGTAGACTGTGAATAGAATGCACTGACGGCCACATTGTTGTAAAAGTTCAGCGAGTGTCTGCTCGTTGCATGCTGTCAAGCCGTCCTATTTGCGAACTCAGTATTCCTACCGCGCATGGAGACTCGCGTTACATGCGAGCATCTGACTCACCAACCAGACGAAGCCTTTCAAAGGTGCTCGGGTTCGCCATTCTGGTAATGTTTGATCACAATTTGGTTGAAGTGCTTCTTGGTCCGCGCTGAGTGGTCGATGGAGTTAACAAGTAGTCTCGAGGCAATATCTGAGACCATAGTTCCTCCTGTATCTCACTCTCGAAACTTGGGTAGCTTTTCTCTTCTCGGTCGGCTGATCTCGGGTCCGACGTCTTCGTATTTCGTATTTCGTGTTGGCGAATAACCGTCGTAGCGAAATTGCTCGCAATTCTTGTCTCCACCAGGTCTGATTTGTCTGCATGACCAAGGAAGAGTCATCCTATCTCCTTGAACCATGTATAGGTAAATGCTGGGCTTGAAAGATAAATGTAAAGTTCACAAGGCATATGCCGCGTGGTGCTCCCATGCTAGAGGCATTCTATGTGTCGCACTTGTCATGCTAAAGTGATTAAAGGTCAGATAATCTTGATGCAAGCAGCAGTGTTATTTTCTTGATTGATTATTTGAGGTGCGGGAGGAGGCACTCCATCCCGCAATTATATATAAGGCACACAGCTGGATTACTAATCCAGCTGTTTCCCCAAAGATCACCCTATCCTGCGACACTGTACTTTCAAATTGCCCGTGAAGAGATCACTTTAGTCTAGGTTTTCGAGGCTGCGAGATATTTGGCTCGCAGCTTAAAGATATCTATCTCTCCCACCTATTCCTCGCTTCAAAAATTCATTTATCACGTTACCCGTCATTTTGGCCACGGTATTCTCATACTCATCCCACGCCAATGACGGATACCAGTTAATGCTCCCCACTGAGAAGACCGCCCCACCTCCATTCGTCTCGTAGTAAACAATGTCCGAGCGGATTTCCCTTGTCTGTGTGCCTCTCGTGGCAATTATCGGGTAAGAAGCACACTCGCTAGCGATGCCAAAGCCATCAGGATGGCCCATAGAGGTGGCCACAACAACTCCGTTCAGCGGACTGCCCTGACTGAGGTCAAAGCTATCCATCTCATCCCCGCTTGCACCACCACCAAGCCCAAACTCGCCGATAAGCTCGCCGTCCGGGATTCCCTCAAACATCCACTGATACTGTTTACTTCTCCCGGCCTCAGTCCGCTCGTAAGGTACACCAGGAGGCCGACCCTGACTGCAGAAGGCTACGCCAAACAGAGCGTGCGACGAACGACCCTGCGACCTCCACAAAGCGCCTAGTTGCCCATTCAGACTGAGCGTCCACTCTCCCGCGTCTCCTGTATATGAGCGCACGCCGGACTCGCCGCGTCGCACCTCAACTCGCCATGGTCGCGCAGGGTCCCAGGCCGTGACCCAGTAGAATCCGTTACCGCCCAAGTACATTAAATTCCCCCCACGCCGGGCGTAATTCTCATATGCATCGTAGACTTCGGTGGTTGGATATTCGGGATGGCCGCCAGTAATAACAGCACTGTATGGCATAAGAGCGGAGCAGCCTTCGAGATGTAAATCATGATCAGTTAGGATATCGTAAGCATAGCCTTCTTGCTCTAGATACCCGATCATTATCGTCTCGCCGCTGAGATGGCGCGGACGCCCTAGACCGAAGGAGATAAAACCAGGTTTCAGATTCATGATTGGCCGTTTCGAAGAGGAATATATGTTACCTGACTGGTCATTATGTACATCGTAGGTCGAGAGTCCGAGGTCTAGGCGTCGGTAGTTCCGATCCGAGTCGACTGTTGGAGTCGGCTGGATATCTGTAAGTGCTGCGCCCGTGCCACCGGAAGATGAACGGTTAGGGTCGCCGAGTTTATCGTTCGCATACGCGAGATATGTGAACGTGGGAAGGACAAGCGCGACTTTAGGTGTAGTTTGAGAGGCCGTCGTAGGAGTATTGCGGATGATAAAGCTAATCATGTCACTCGTCGGGCGTCCTTGAGTGCTCTGAACCTCGATGGCGTAAATACCAGATCGGGCGTCGAGAGGGACTGTAATAGTAAAGTCGGTTTCCCAAAAGGCATCATCGAGATCATCTTCGTGGAAGTGAATAGCACCATAACCATACTTGGCTTTTGTCCAGTCGACTTGAGTGCCATCCCAGTCATGGCCACGTACAGCACGGGTTGGAGCATTGACAAGAACTCCATGGTGTCCGCCGCCAGAGATATCTAATATGGTGTCTTCGGAGATATTTCGTGCGAAATCATAGTGGACCAATACTCCATCCTTGAGCGTTCTGATTAGCGGACTGTCGATTCGTCCGTTGAAGAAATTTGTGGCTCGTGGGAATGCTTTTACTGGTGATTCGGCAAAGCTTGCAGCAATCAACAATGTGGCATCAGAATTCATACAAAAATCGTTGGCCATAGTCTCTTCCAGTGAGACGGGTGGTGATGTTTTCTCGGTTACTCGTGGCACTGGTTCCAAAGTTAAATATACAACCCTTCCTTGAAGGAGGAGGCGCAAGGCTATCCAGCGTTTATAAATCGGGGTGAACTTGGTCGGAATCAAGTGAATCTCGTTACCCGTTCCGATCCAGAGCTCAACTCGACCGTGCGAATTAATGACTATGGCAAAGCCACGTTTCCTGGGCACATCGATGGTGGAGATGATCGACTGTGGGTGGCCAGCCTGAACCAGGTGCGGCTGGAAGTAAAGAGAGATCTCGAGGTCGCTTATGACGGAAGATCTACACCAGTGCTGCACTTGGGCGAAGGAGCCGCACCGAGCAAGCTGGAACCTTCCCTTGACTTTCCCTGTCGGAATGGATGTAATCTCCGTGAGTGTCTTCTTAGGAGAATGGGGTAGATCGACGCCCTGAATTACTCGTACAGTCCGATGCTTGTATTCTGGCTCTGTGCAAGACACCTAGACAAGGTGTCAGCGATCATTTTTGTGTTCGTGCTGCATGTGACAGTAACCTTACTTTGATCGCAATGGTATCGCCAGGCTTTGCGATCCACGGGTCTGCATAGCCTGTAATCTCTTCCGGGTAATCATCCGGCACATTCTCCACGGTCCCCATCGTTTTTGAGGTATACAAGGCTCCAAAATAACAACAACAACAATTATAATAACAACATTAAATTCGCTGATGTTGAGCTACTACGACTTTACGAATAAAAGTCGAACTAAAGACCAAAACCCCGTGTAGGACTTTACTGGTAGATGATACTAGACCGTTCGCGACCCAAGTGGGTTTATGTGAAGGCGAAGATGAAGCAATGTGATCTCAAGCTGACTGAACACGGCCTCGGCTCCGGCAACTTGCGAATATGGCTGATTGGTGGACCCTCAAAAATAGCCTCGGGTCACAGTGACCTTCGGCTCCGAGCACGTTTGTCCGAGGTCATTATCATGGGCTTCCGATTGTGCTCGGAACGATGGAAGAAAAAGTCAACTACTCGTGTAACAAAGGAGATCTTATCCGGTCTCATATCCACAAATGAGCGGGTAATGCTGACGCTTCGATGGGTTTACTTCTTGATGCGACCTTGGCTAGCTGAGGTTTAGTCGATCGAAGGGAAAAGACTAACTATATCTCACGTGCACCTAATTTTACAACGCACATATTTCTAGTCTTTACACAGACATCTTGGTCACATCACCTTAATGCCACACACTAAAAGCCTGGTCGCACCCAAAATGAGCCTCGTGACAGATTACTCTCCATCCTCCCCACAACCGCAACCGCAACCGCAACCGCAACGTCGCCGAAGACAATTGCGAGCCTGTAATGCTTGCCATAAGAGAAAGGTACGCTGTGACGCGGTCGGGCGGCAGACGTGCTCGAACTGCGAAGCCGTGGGAAACATATGTCGGTAGGGATATATCCATCCGAAAGTATCCCTGGATCAACATGTGCTCACCGTTGTTGTTTCTGGTGTTGAGTAGGTTTGATGTCGTTGAGGCCCTGTCCCGTAAGAACAACGATCGAAGGCAGGGTCGTAGTCCTGTCACTGCATCATTCACTAGTAGCTCCGAGATCGGTCAAGCGAACCAAAGTGCACCGTCACCATCACAGACAGGTGCCATTGTAAATATACATGGGGCCCAACAACGCTCCACGCCAATACCAGGCTTGGATCATGTGTTAGACGCTGCGGCTCAAGATCAGAGCAACGAAACCCTGGTCGACAATGGGCTGGTGGATTTTTACCGGCGTGGCATCCATTCGCAAACGTGGACGCTTTTCGACAAACCCTCTGATGCTCGAATGTGCTACATTGGCACTTCGTTGTCGAATTTGTCCCAACTGGTCAGCGTCGAGAGGTGTGGTGATGGCAGTGCATTGCACTATCCTACTCCTCAGATCCGCCGCATTGTCTCATGGAAGCCAGGGACGGATCTCCCTAATTTCCAACACCAGAGCGACCTTACGCATGACTTGACTTTGTTCCCAGCACAAGATGTGCGCGACGCCTTAGTCGACGCCTTCTTCACGGAGATTCATCCTGGTTTTCCCGTGGTCGACGAGAGTGAATTCCGTGCGAGCTACATTGATAAAGAGTCCCCTCCCCCGCTCTTACTGTACCAAGCTGTCTTACTTGGCGGCGCACGCGTCTGCCAGCACCCCAAGGTAGCAGAGTCTCGGTCCTTCGTTAAAGCAGTTCTTTACCGGCGAGCTAAAACTCTGTGGGATATGCGTTTCGAGAATGATAGAGTGACTCTAATTCAGGCCGCGTTAATTTTCTCGTGGCATGTAGAGACTGCAGACAATGTTAGCGCGGGGAGCTACTACTGGATCTCCGTGGCTTGTGGGATAGCGTATGGGTTGGGAATGCATAGAAATCTGACACAATCCTCGTCCACGGTGATGCCGCAGCCTGCTAGACACCTGTTCCGGCGGTTGTGGTGGACACTATTTCAGTCCGCTGTTGCCACCGCACTGGAGCATGGAAGACCATTGTTGATTCAGATGAAGGATACTGACCAGCCACCGCTGACGGAAGCAGATCTCGTCGAAAGCGACGGGTCAGTGAACAGAAACATCCACCTGGAGTACTGTGTTCAGAATAGTACGCTCTGTGAAATAATTGCCGACATCATGAACATGCATTCTCCTGGCTCACTGCAAAAGAATAGTCTCGCGGAAAGGGGCACTCTGGACTGTCGACTGGCTGCCTGGCTTATGGCTCTTCCGCCCATGCGTGACTTCTACATGTTGCAACTTAGTCTACACTACAACACGGCTCTTCTTCACCTTGATCGCACAACAATCCAGATGGTCACCGCGCCAGATCCCGCTTACTCGTCTAAGCTGTGTGGTACGGCCACCGACTCGATTGTGAGCATCTTTGGGTCGATGATCCAAGCACAAACCATTCGCAAATGTTACATTACCAGTTTGACAGCAGTAATGGCAGCGGCGATTCACGTAACACGCGAAATGCACCTCGCGATCCAACAACACATGACGTTACTCGCTCTGCAATCCCAGTCTCAGCTTGAAGCCCTTTTCCCCATCATGGGAGAATTGGCTCAGTCCTGGCCGACTGCAAAGGCCATCCTCAAACTTTTTCAACATATCTTGGAGCGATCCAAAACAGCAATGGTAGCCCAGTCTGTGAACAACGTCTCCAATCTTGATGCTCTACTCACCCCAGACCTGGAATACCCACCAATGGACTGGGATCTGATTTTCTCCACCCTGCATCCCGACGATTCCCTTGAGCACACTGGTCAGGACTGGTCTAACGTTGCTTCTTGGATACGGAATTAAGCAACCCTTGGTCCCCAGCTTGCAGATGTTGTTTTCTGAGGTCGGCTTTACAGCTGCGTCTGCGAGCAGATCTGACATCAGGCCCTAACTGATGTAGAGTCCTGGGCTGGCATTTTCCACAGTATCTCCATCACCTATCCGATGACTGGGAGTTGGGTATGATTTATCTGTACACGAGGTGGTTGTAATCCACAGCCTTGAGCATGGAAGGTCCCACATTCACTGACTGATAGACCGGTGAGGTGATTTGACCAATATGTCGGACTTTTTATGTGGTTTGACTACGTCCATCACCCCGAGAGAGTGGTTGAGGATGGCAGTATGACGAAAGCAGATAGATCATGTAAATTCAGGCGATTTGTTACTCCACGTAAGACTGCGTAGACCGGGTGCGGTCTACGCAGTTTTGGAGCCGGGTGAGGAGTTCCTTTGTCTCCTTTGTCTTCACAACTGCTTGACATGCTTGTCCAACCAGTGCTGTATAGGTTCGCGAGAACATTAATTTGCACCGAATCGCGCCGAACACCTGATGCTGGAGCCGGGTCAATATTCACCGCAGGAGTACCATAGTTTCTTGCAAGTCGTGGCAAATTAGATGCCAACATTTATACCTTCATCCGGATTCTGAACTTTTCCCACAAACGTTCCATTAGAAGCGATGACGGCTTCAATTTCAAATGACCCTCGTTCGGCAGCTATATTCCCCTAAGATGAAGCAGAGGCAGACATTTACTCGGCTCCCCGGCTCAAATAATGTAGCTGAAGCCTTCTTTGGACACTTCTTTCAATATAGACTCTAATGTCGCAAGAGAGTTAACAATGATCCTCATATTACTTTCTTACGTCTGGCGCGCAATCGTAGCGCAGACAGAAAATTAACTCAACTTCGAATTTATCCAGTCCGCTCAAAAGGAAAAGCCGACAACATTAAAAAAATTCCACACAAACGTTTCTCCAGACAAGCTCTCTTTTATCATCGTCCCGGATGTCTCAAAAGAGGGCGCTTTTGAGGAAGCCATCAAGTCTGACCCACCATTCGAGATTGTCATCCGTGCAGCTTCCCTCTTCCATTTCAACACGACTAATCCCAAAAGGACGTGGTCGACCCTGCCGTGGTGGAAACAAAGGATATTACCAAGTCGATCAAGAAGCACGCGCCTACCGTGAAGCAAGTGGTGAGCCCATGCATCCTGTTGCGAGTCTTCAATTGGCGGGTGGTATATACAGGTATTTGCAGCTGGGTGACGTGTCACACAGGTCATCACCTCATCCTTCGCATCCATGATTGATGGCCTCGAGGTCGTGTAGGATACGTACAATGACAAGTACTGGAACCCTGTGACCGAAGCCGAAGCAGCTGCCGACAGCGTTGACGGGAAATGGGTCGACCACTCTGGGTAATCACTCTTTCGCGCGACAGTAATGACCCTTGGGTCACTCCCACTCCCTAGGTCACTCCCCGTACGTCATAACAGTGCCAAGATTACATTGTAATCCTTATCATCACGTGATACGGCTCGTGATGATAAGGTTGTACTCAGCCTCTTGATACTAACTAGTCTAAGATTAGTGATACCTGTCTTGGCGTTAAATCAACACGCCAAGGGATTTTACTGGGTTTGACCCTCTACCCACAGAGGTACACATTGGGTCGCAGGAGTGATCGACCAATTTCCCGTCAACACTGGCTGCCGACCAGATCAATGATTATGACGAAGGGGACGGTTGCGGAAATGGCGGCCTTGAAATTCCTGGAGAAGGAAAAGCCCCAACCTCACCATCACGATTCACGAGCGCCTGTCCACCTACCGTCTTTGGATCAGTGGCACACCAGCTGCCATTGCTGGACGGCATCAACACGTCCAACGGATGGCTTATAGACAACATTCAGGCCAAGCACAAGGACGCCAAGGAGATCACAGAAGCCTCCATTGGGATCGATGTTCGACACGGTCAAGAGCTTCAGTACTATCGTGGTGGGACAAATCTAGGTAGTAGCTAGGACAGATCAAAAGACAATAGATATCAGCACCTGGAACTTGACCATGCCATAATGAGGATAACAGCTGTGAATGATCATGCCAAGGAACATACAGATATTGTTCAAAGTATCCAATCAAAACATGAATCAATACCCAACAACCTGGTTTGAGAATCCCAGAGCCTTGATTAAGCATGTACGGTGAGATGTATCAATGTATCTACAACTAAAAGTTAAAAACGAAAGGCTGACATCGATCGTCAACTGCCATGCTTTCATGTCATTGTCGGTAATGTTTCAGCTCACCTCGCCGGCTACTTTGCAGCATGCATATAGCCGTGCCCCTCAGATATCTAATGACTATTCGACTCTGACCTCAAGCCCAGACACTGGCTGATCCTCCAATAGAATACGCGGTCCTTTGAAATGCTTACGGGCGTATACAACCCAGTTGATCAGTCCCAAGATGCCGATGAGGGCAAGCACGACTGGTGTGTAATCTGGACAATAGCATCAGCACGAAATATCCCGAGTTACCAGTTGTTAAATGTCAGCATGTATGAGGTCGGAAGAGATAGAATAAAGATGTGGGCTGAACAAGGAGCTTGACGAGAGAGTGATGCCGGAGGGGGCATGTGCTATAGTATTATATGAAGGACAGTACTCACTCAGGTTTGACCAAGTGACTGGCCGGAAAGGAGGTAGCGCAAAGCATACTACCAGTACAGGTATGATCATGGCAACGAAGATGGTTAACATCCAGCCTAAAACTTGTGGGATGGCAAATTCTCGGCTTTTTGGTAAAAACTTTTCTGAACGTCGCCTATACATGAGTAAGATAACAGGAATCCAAATTCCTAGTAGCTGATGTACGGCCGAAGAACTGATGATGGCATTGAAAGCTGTACCAACAATGTCAGTCAAGGAACAAAAGTCGCGAAAATGTGTCCCCCGTGCCTTGTGGAGGGAGATCTGATGAAAGGCATCCTTCATAAAGAAACTTAAGTACACTTACCTATCGAAGACGCCAGAATCAGAAAGCCACAGAGTGCGAGTAAGAGCCAATTCAGGAAAGTAGCCCAGACAGGGACATTCAATACTGGATGAATACGGCGAATGATGTGGGAGAACGCAAATCCATCATCTCTGGCAAAGGACCATACAAGACGAGACGAGCTCTGGAGTAGTGCATTGAGAATGAAGAAACCCAAAACACACCCTGCGCACAACAGAGCTGCAGCAGCATCGGCAGATCGTAGCCCTTGAGCATTAATCTCGAAGGGAACGAATCTACATTTAACTTTAGTTCGAGTGTGAAACCGTCTTGGAAGAATATTGTACTCACCCCGAACTTTCGGTAATAGTTTGGAAATCACTGATGCTGTAAAGCAGAGCGATCGCGAAAGGGAAAGCCGTACAAAATCCGACGATAATGACACCGACACAGGCTCGCGGCACAATCTTCCGAGGGTTCTTCGCCTCTTCAGACAAGTGTAGGGCACCATCGAGCCCACCATACATGAAGGCAGGGGTGATAAGGCCCGTCAAGAAACAAACACCGTTGGGCCAGCCGGTTTTGTTGATGAAAGTAGTCCAAACGAATTCGTGGGTAGCCTTAGGAGATGCACGGCCTAAGATTCCGATAAAAGTGGCCAAAAATATGGCGATGCTGAGTATGACTGAGAACCACCGAGGTCAGCACGTACTCCATCGAGATCGAGTCAGATACGTTCCGCTAGCTACTTACAGCCAATGGTATGCGTCACAGGTAGTCTATTCAGGATTAAGAGGTTGTAAAATAGGGCTAGTACCCCTATTGCTTGGTAGATGAGAAAAAGGTGCCACGCTTCTCCTTGGGCCCCCGGGTTGAAGTATCCAACAAGCGCCATTATTTGGGTCGCCGTGATGACCATCACCGCTGCACCACTGGAAACCCACTGGAATATTGTAATGAAGCCGCAAGCGTATGACAAGGACCGAGTCATTCTTTTAGGAGCCAATATAGAGGTGAAATGATACTGACCACCGGCAGTGGGATATACACTTCCCAGCTCTGCGATGAGAAGGCTGATGCACAGATATATTGCAGTGATGAGAATCGTTCCGTAGATCAGAGTCACAGGGCCACCTTGCGATAAGGCGATCTGAATGCTAGTAGACAGACCAGCCCAACTGCTGCAAATGTTGAAGCACAATGCTATCATTGTTAAAAGCCCAATACTTCTCCTGACATTGGGCTCACCCAAGATCGTTCCAGCGACGTCGGGGTCGGCCGTCGATGACTCCGCCTCGTGCTGACGAACCTCAGAAGCCTGCACATCTTCGACTTTGAAGGACAAAACAGGGTCAGCGAGCGTTTAGCAATTTGAATTGCTAAATCTTGTTATATTTACTTACCAAAACTGAGTTTTAGACGATCGTTGGCAGCAAGTTTGGCATCTCCAGAAGTCATTTCGTTGTTTGTCGATAGTAGATGGGACGACCAGAGCAGTGTCGTTGAGAACCAAGTTAGCATAAGAGAGAATTATATGGTATCCGGAAATTGTGAGTCGGAGGGGGGCAACTCCCATGGTCAATCAAGTTTGAGGAAGGGGGCAGTGCATCACCTAAGGGTCTCAAGTCTCGGAGCCGAAATAAGCATGATCTAGATATCGAATGTGTAAGTGGGACTAGCCCGCTCACTGTGACAATAACCTCGCTATCATGACTCCGCATCGGTACACCTAGACGGAGGATTTCGGCTCTTCTCAATAAGTCTAGCCGTGCCAGGGTCTCACTTTAGGGGAACGGACGTGCCATCCCAGGGGCAGCCAGCGTAGTTTATTGGCAGATAGCAAGCTTGTAAGAAGAGCAATAGAATTTCCGAGCTTGCAAGGCTTGTCAGTCTTCCAGACTACTAGTTGAACGAAATAGAGCCCAAAATTCTCTGCGGAGAGTTCAGCGTCGTTAGAAGATCTAATTTATCGTAGTCAAGCTGAGAATTAAGAAGTCGACTAGATCCTCGAATCATGAAGCTACACTTCTCCTTATCACATAACGACTTTATGGGACTCACTGCAGGGCGCAGCATCGTGAGTAGTTCGTGCTCTGTTGAAGCGTAAAGCTCTATCGCTGTCCTTGCGAGATTTGCTGTCTGCCACTCAACTCCATCAAGTGCTCTGATATGGCTGAAGCCTTAGCTTGGCGAGACCTCGGCTCCGCAGCACCCGAGCCGGTCGTGGTGATCGAGATTATCTATGTGGGATTAAGCGCGCAAGATCTTTATTTCTGGAATCAATATGTTCAAGCTCTGGCGAGAAGGAACGCTGCTGAATGCGTTCACTAGATTGAGCTAGAAGTGTAAGTATTTCAAGAAGGGCACCACCCGCTGATTTGCAGTCGTTGCTTCGACAACTTTCTATTCGCCATGACGACATCCAAGGCGCACAATGCAATTATCTACGATAATCCTGGATCATTGTCTTTGAAGTGCGTACAGGTCAAGACTCCAAAGCCGGGTCCAGGACAAGTGCTAGTGAGGCTCTCTCACACAGGACTGTGTCACTCTGATTATGCCGTCATGACAAATGGCTGGAGCTGGCTGCCTGATTTGCCTGGAAAAGATCAAGTTGGGGGCCATGAAGGTGTCGGACGAGTTGTCGAAATAGGGGCAACACTACCCGGAAATACAGTCCTCTGGAAAGTCGGTGACAGAGTTGGAATCAAATGGCTCTCTTCTGCCTGTCTTCACTGCCTGGCTTGTATGTCCAGCCTCGAGGGATCATGTTTGCATCCAACTGTTTCAGGATATAACACACCTGGCACATTACAAGAATATGTGCTGGCACCGGCATATTATGTTACTCCTATCCCACAAGGAGTCTCGCCGGAAGTGGCTGCGCCCTTGCTCTGTGGCGGACTTACCGTGTACTCAGCTTTCCAGAAGGTGCAAGCCAAACATGGAGAATGGGTAGTGGTCTCTGGGGCAGGTGGTGGTCTCGGTCACTTAGCATGTGAAATTGGCAGTCGAGCTTTGGGTTTTCGGATTCTCGGGATCGACACATCCGAGAAGGAGCAATTCGTCAGAGATTGTGGTGCACAAGAGTTCCTGAGTGTGGGCGATGAAGCCCTAATAGAGAAGGTTCGACAAATCACAGGTGGTGGCGCCGCTCTAGTGATGGTCTGCACTGGTGCAAATGCGGCGTACGCTCAAGCTCTTGACTTCCTCAGATTTCATGGCATCCTGATGGCTATCGGACTGCCTGAGAGAGATCAACAGCTTCCGATTCAAAGTGCCAATCCTAACAAACTGATTACGCAACAGCTTACTATAATGTCGTCCTCGGTAGGCAATAGGAAGGAGGCTATGGAAGTCCTAGATCTTGCAGCTCGAGGAATCATAAAGCCGAAAATCTTTGTCCACAAGCCAAACGAGGTAGCTGCAGTCTTTTCTAAGATGACACATGGACAGTTACTTGGTCGTGCAGTCATTACATTAGATTCCGAAGCTTGGGCCTGAAGATAACTGTGACAATGGGAAAGATACTATGACTACCAATTCAAGCTGAACTCCAGTCTCATCGACCGCCGAAGGTGTCCTAGTCAAGGTGATAACTTTCCACCTAAACGTCTGCCTATCGCTCTTTCTCTTTCTGCGCCAGGTTGAAAATGGGGTAGAAGGCCGGATTTACGTGGGTAGACGAATGGAGGTCTCTGTGCCACTCTCCAACCAATATCTTCGGAGAACTAAGTACAGATCTTTCCAGGGTTTGCTCGGTACAATCGACAAATACCAGATCGAAGGTGGAAACGCGAGAAACAAAGTGGAGGAACTCATGAAGACATTGGAAGTGATACAGAGGCATAGCTGGAGATCAATGCCTGTATCATGCGGAACAGTTCATCACACTTGACAATTCACTCGATTATCTTGACGGACGCGCTCTGGATTGCCTGTGATGACGAGTCTCATACGATACGAGAGCACATATTCTATTGAAGTAGTGAAGCTCGAAATATTTCGATCCATACTCTATTCCTCCGGTCTGAACCCGGAGACATCAGAGATGTTTTTGACTTAGTAGCATCATTTAATGAATGTCAGCCCACGGTCGAGACGTCCGAGTTTCAACCAAGCATAATCTGGAATGAAGCCTTTACGACCTGTCCACGGGCTTTCCGCCGCAGATTTGGGCAGATTAGCCGCTCCGAGTGTAACGTAAGTCGATTGCAGGTTTATTGTTGAGGCTGGCAACAGGGATATCGACTCTGGGAGATATGGTACAGCTGCCCTATAACTCTGCCTTTCGAGGTACTTGAGGTATTTGCAGATGAATTTTGCCGTGATATCTGCTCCGAGCGTCCATGAGGCATCGGTGTAGCCGAAAACAAAAGCGGCATTGGGCATATCCTGGATCATCACACCGTTCCACATATACTTTTCCGAAGGGTTGAGAGGTTTCCCATCCACCTCGATCTTAACGCCGCCAAACATCTGTAATTGGAGACCCGTTGCAGTGACGATGATATCTGCTGCCAACTTCTTGCCGGACGCTGGTACTATACCATCAGGGACGACTTCTTGGATGATGCTAGTTTCCACAGTGGCTTTGCCAGATTGGAGGCTTTTGAAGAAGTCACCATCAGGACAGAAGCAAACACGTTGCTGCCAAGGCCGATAGGAAGGATTAAAGTGCGGATCGTACGGTATCTGCACGGGGAGTTGCTGGGTCGTGCTTTTCTCTATCATCCTTCTTGCTCCATCCGGCCATCGATGACAGTACCAAATGAAAAGACGTCCACTGATGATCCATAACAACCGTCGAACCATGAAATATAACTTCTGGGAGAGGAGGTGACAATACCATGGTCGCTTCAAGGCTTTGTTAGGTATCGAGAGGATATAAGTTGGGCTACGCTGTAGCATTGTGACTTTGGCGGCTTTTTTTGCTAGCGACGGAACGAGTGTTATGGCCGTAGCACCACTGCCGATAACCACGATCTGTTGATTTGCATAGTCTAGGTCTTCAGGCCAGAATTGGGGATGAACTGTTTGACCTTGGAACTGCTCGATCCTTGGGATTTTGGCCTCAAGAGGTTCATTATAGTTGTAATAGCCTGTGCCGAAGACTAAGAACCGAGCTTTATACTGGAGCTGCTGACGCCCGTATAGTGCTTTCAATGTCCATAGGCAGTCTTTCGAAGACCAAGATGCGTTCGTTAAGAGGTGACCGTATTGGATTTTCTTGTCGATGCCATGCATCGAAGCAGACTTGTGCAGATACTGTCTGATGGATTCGCCATCCGCTATTGGGCTGAGCTTCTCCCATGGACTCCATTCAAATCCAAACGTGAAAAGATCCGAGTCCGAGCGAACACCTGGGTAACGAAAGAGATCCCAGGTGCCACCCATTTGCCCTCGTCCCTCTAAGATCATGTAAGTGTATTTGGGAAAGTGACTTTGGATTCGGTATGCAGCGTTGATTCCCGAAATTCCAGCTCCGACAATGAGAATGTCGAGTACATCATTCGCAGGTAACGAGGCCCTAAATTTTTCCGCCATGCTAATTCTCTTCTCGTCAGCAGAAAGCTCGGCCGAGGCGATGTGCAGGTAAATGATGAAGGAGATAAAACTACGGACAGATCGTTTTATTTTGGTCCTGCTCTCGAGTCTGGGTTTGCACTAATATAGCAGTATCACTTGCTGAGCGCGACCATACTGGTTTCTAGGGAGCCTTGACAGGGTTTGCCACCAACACCAAGCCGATTCCTGAACATACGAAGTACGAGAGGAATATGAGCGAGAATGAGCGAATACGAGGCCTGAGACTCAATCTCGCGATGCGGATGTTCGGTACTTAGGGTCCTGGCTGGCTACGTCGGCTCCGAGTAGGAGCCGTTGGTAGTGGCAAGGAATTCGGCAAACGATACGGTGATTACGAGTTTTGGGTCAGCTCTTTCATTCCCCATGCAGCCAGATTAGCAGTTGAACTTTGTGAGCACAGAGAAAGTTTAAAGCAGACATGGAGGTTCTGGAACAGCGAATAGTACTTCCAAGCCAATTTCAAGAAAGACCTGTCGACCATCCCCCCTCTCGTTGACATTTTCCTATTTCTGTCCACTTCTATCACAAGAAGAGAACCACAAAATGTCCTTACAGAGCCTGTTCCGTTTGTCGACCATACAGCATCTGTATCGGTCGTCACGCTTGACGTCTGCCTATGTTGGAGTTAGAGTCCAAGGTGTTCTACAATCCCATACTATTAGAAAAGGACTTGCCGTTTTGATAGCACTGCGTCTATTGAAGAGCCTCAGTAACCTGCTGTCATGGTATGCGATGAACAATTGGAGCTCTGTGAAGCCATGGAATCCGAAAGAGGAGCTTGTGGTCATTACTGGAGGCAGTAGTGGGATAGGCTGTCAAATTGTGGATGATCTGGTGAAGTTGAGGGTCAAAGTGGTCATACTCGACATTCAAGCACCAAAGACAGAGCTTCGTAAGTGAAAATCGTCGTTCAGAAGTAATTCCCCCAAGTCTGATCATAAATTCTAACATGAAAACACTAGCAACTGGTGCATTTTTCTATCGTGCCGATATAACATCGCGTGCGAGTCTGAAAGCCGCTGCCGATCTTATCCGTGTCGAGCACGGCGATCCAACTGTGCTCATCAACAACGCCGGTGTTGGAAAAGATGGCACGATCCTCGAGGAAAGCGAAGAAGACATCCGCTGCACTTTCGAAGTCAATATTCTTTCGCATTTCTGGACAGTCAAGGAGTTTCTGCCGGCGATGCTCAAGAGCAACCACGGTCATGTCATCACGATTGCGAGTGTAGCGAGCTTTGTGGCATTCGGACAGGCTGTGGACTACTGCATCTCTAAAGCTGGTGCTTTGGCTTTCCATGAGGCATTGACACAAGAAATTCGAGGCTTTTATGGCTCTGAGAAAATCCGCACAAGGTATGCATCATTGTCTTTTACCTTTGGCAGCATTTTCTAGCGAGGTAAATACCAACTGATACGTCACTACAGCATAATTCACCCAACATGGATTCGTACACCACTGATCGAGCCGCTCATTGCGACCGGGAAGTTTACACAGCGCGTGCTCGAAGTGACCGACGTGTCCAAAGTGGTTGTGAAACAGATCGTGAATCAAAGTAGTGGCCAAGTCGCCATACCGGCTTCGGCACAAAATCTTGCTCTACTTCGGGCTCTTCCCATCTGGCTACAAGAGGCAGTGAGAAACCATGTTTCTGGGGAGTTTATAAGACTGAGGAAATCGGCGCCTGGGTCGATGTGAAGCAGTTCTGGTGTACAGAGTACCAATCGTCAATTGGCTCATGACTGACCAAATATTGAGTTGTTCAGACCATCGAGCCTTAGAAGTTGTCATTGATCGTTGATCTGATGTTCTACCATGCAATTTATGTCATCACTACATGAGCCTCAAATAGAATAGCAGACATATGTCTGGAAGCCAAATCAGGAGGCAGTAGTCAAGTCTCAAGACTTGAACGGGTCCCAAGAAAATTTCAAAAAGTACTATGTGTGAAATCCTAGTGATACGTAACAGTAGGGGAGTTTCTTCATAATCTTCGGTTATGACTTCAGGGAGAGAACTCGAGACCGCGATACTAGTAACACATGGAAAGTATTTAGATTTTACTAGTCTCCCTCGATATGAGGCATACCTTAGAAGACAAGAATCCATCCGAACAAAAGGATGTGAAACCGTATCTCGTGTCTCGTATCCGCTTTCCGTCGTACATCGTAAAGTTTGCAACGTTACTTATCGGAATACTTCACAATCCACATAACATCCCATTGGTCATGTGGCAGTTTTGTGAATGGATAGCAGTCAAAGACTAGGGTTGTCTCATGCCAAGCACGGATCCACACTACGGCGCGGAGCCGAATAGACTTTGCATTTCTTCTCATTGTCTAGTGTATATATGGAAGATGGCTGTAAGAGATAGAGATATTGGCATTGCGAATCTTCAGAAAGCCTCCCAAACGACTTCATCGATGTCCACACCCGTTCTGCTGTTGCTCTCAACAGCCGTGGAAGGGCTTGCAGTGGCTTTGGTCGTACCTCGAACAGTGCCTGTTCGTTCTATAATAACTATTCTTTTGCTTTTCATGTTGAATGTCTCTCTCTGGTTACTTTACAAAATATTCATTTATCCGAGTTTCTTCAGCCCCCTCCGTCACCTTCCGTCCCCAAAGGTATGTGTGGTCAAATGATTCCCTTCCGTCGATTAGAGCCCTCTGAAATGACATTACACATAAGGGGGCCCACCCAATATTCGGCCATACTGCGTCTCAATTCAAAATACCTCGTGGCAGCGATCATCTTAAGTTCACAACGGAAATCCCTAATAATGGCCTCATTCGCCTCAAAGGATTCTTTAACACCGATGAAGTTCTAATAACCAGCCCGAAGGCGATCGCGGAAGTTCTTGTAGCAAAGCCTTACGATTTCCCAAAGACAGAGCGAGACCGAGGTCTTCTGAAGCTCCTGATAGGTGAGGGGCTCGTGGTTGCGGAGGGAAACTATCACAAGATACAGAGAAAACACAGTCTGCCGAGTTTTGCTTTCAGACCGATCAAGATGCTCTATCCGCTATTCTGGAAAAAGGCCACAAAGATGACGAGAATGATGGCTAGAGACGCCTTCGGAGATTTGAAAGCTACAGGAGTAATGGATGTGGAGCACTGGGCCCCGAAAGCCACTCTGGACATCATCGGCGTTGCTGGTCTTGGAAGAGACTTCAACACCCTAGAAAACTCTGGCGATGAACTTGTGCCACTTTTCGAGTACTTAACCACTTTTACCCCGGAAATGGGTCGTCTAGCTATGTGCTATACCATGTTGGGGGAAACACTAACGAAATTGCTTCAGCGTCCGACTTGAAAAAAAGTGACACACGCCTCTGCAAACCTCCGACATCTCTCTGAGCAGTTGGTACGAAGGAAACATCGCCTAAATCAGAATCCGGATGACAAATCGGTGGACACACTGTCTTTACTGATCAAATCAAACGTCTTCTCAGACTCGCAGCTTGTGGACCAGCTTTTGACAGTACTTGCTGCGGGGTAAGTGCTTCGACCTTAGTAATTGTTTCCGCTTGTTAATAATGTGTTCAGCCACGAAACGACTTCCTCGGCATTTACATGGATGACCTATCTCCTGGCAATTCATCCGGATATTCAAGCACGCTTAAGAGCAGAGATATATGATGCGATACCTCGTGACATTTTTGACAGACCAGATTCGGAGATGGCTGCGATTCTTGAGTCTTTGCCCTTACTCAATGGTGTCTGTAATGAGACGCTGCGCATATACCCAACCGTCCCAGTTGTGACCCGCGTGAGCAAGAACCATAACACTATTCTCGGCCAGGAGATAAGGCCAGGCACACTCGTCGTCATGGTCCCATGGGCCGTCAACAATGACCCTGGCATATGGGGCCCAGAGGCCAGCTCTTTTATACCGGAGCGCTGGGTCGACCGTACTACGGGAAAGCCAAATCATACCGGTGGTGCAGACACCAACTATGCAGTGATGACTTTCTTGCACGGACCACGGAGCTGTATCGGGCAGAATTTTGCGAAGGCTGAACTAAGGTGTTTGGCGGCAGCATTCGTTGGGGCATTTGAATTTGAAATGATGGACAAGTCAGAGGAAGTGGTGCCTGCAGGTATCATCACGACCAAGCCTAGAGATGGATTGAAGTTAAAGCTGAAGAGTGTCCGACCTTGGGTCTGCAGTGAATAAACTGGGTGAAAGCCGTGGAAATCACTGTGCAATCTCGTGGTTCGCGAAAGCGTTGAATTCTCTCGCAGACAATCGCTAAGCATATATTTGAATTTGCTGGTATGGACCCGTGTCAGACAGTGTGATCAAAGTGTGTCTGTTGAATGCATCGCGCCGCATTTGACAGGCATCCGCAACGCAATTCTCCCGCGTAGAGTGTACCCAACCTGTGTAGAACACTGCAGCGCCAATGCATGATTGTTCTTACGGTGCACTGGTATGCTGAATTTTTCCATAGAAAGCGACACGAATGAATATGGCACCGTTTTAAGAAAGAACTAAAATCAGAAAGACAGAAATGCTCAACCCAAACGATCCGCCCTATCAACCTGGCTCTGTCCCGGATTTCCCTAACGACGAATTTGAATCTTAGACGTTGGTGTATGAACCAATCCTCTGACCATGTCGAGCACCGTGGTCATACTGATGAAGCCTGTACGGTTTAAGAATTGAACATATATGATCCCACTGGAAATAATATGCTTCACCCTTAAGCTCATGAGGCAGTGGACAATAGGTCCGAACTTCTGGCGGCAAAGATCACTGAGTTCAGAATCCAATCTGTTCGAAAATATGATGGAGCACAAGTTAGACCCTCAGATAAATTTTTGACTTAACGTAGTCTAAGGCGATATACTGCAGTATACTCGGAGAACCTGGCCAGGTTGTGAGGACAAGGATGCGAAGAGAAGCGGTCTGCAAAGCTCATTTTGTGGCCGGGCTCTGGCTTGACAGATAAAGTTAACCTCCACTTCCCATGGATTTAGTGGCTGATCCACTCGCTGTTTGACCATCACTACATTTTTCGGTCAGGGTTGTTGTTTTCATTCTCAAGGGTCTGACCAGTCTCTTCCACATGGATCTGCAACTGTTTTCTTGCGTGGATTGGGACAATAACGCCCTCTTCAAGGAAGTAGTTGGTGTCTTTCATGTATTTCCAGACCACGTAAAAGAGGCTGGGCCAGCAGAGCATTGTAAGTGCGAAAAAAGCTGCATTTTCGTTCTCATATGGCTGGGCGGTAGCATCGCAGCCAAATGATATGGCTGTACCAGCGCTCAGGACTGTCGTGATGAAAATTCATAAGCAAATCGACCATTCGAAAATTTATGGGAGGACGACGATGGAAAGAATGGCACTTACGGCCTACAAATATACCCGACATGTGAGAAATCCGGCGGGGGTCGTTAGTCAGAGATCCAATAATCCAAACCACTGTGTTCTGAAACATGCCATACTGGCCGCCGTAGAAGAGGTAGATAATGACAGCTCCTGGATACGCTGCGTCGTTGATATCGATGGAAGGACCTGGAATATGACGGTTGAACTTCCAGCTAGATAGCCAGATGGTTTGCGCAATATAGCTTCCAGTGACCCAGATCATGATAATAGTGATGGCGATTAGGGCTCTTGTTTTACGTCGAAGTCTCTTGTTGTCCAGCAGCAGCCCACAACCGATCACTGTCGGGATCTGAGTGACATTATTCAGAACATTATTCAGCGAGCGCGTTCGCAGATTGTACGCGTATGCGTTCATGGATGCTAGTAAAGGCATGAACATCTCTGGAATGAAGGCCACAGGCAGCATTAAAATCATTATCGGATCGGTGAACATCTTGGACGTCTCTATGATGGATGCCTTCATGGATATTGGCTTGAATTCAGCGATATTTGTTCCATCAGATCGAATCAGCTTTTCCGGAGGGAGTATCATGGCACCGAAAATGAGCGAACAGCATGCTAGGATGACAAAGATGATATACACGGAATGTGGGACCCCGGTCGACTTTGCTATAAATAGTTGGTTAGTCCGCATATCAATTCTGAAAGAGATTGTGACGATGTATTACCATTCCAATTGATTCTGAGCGTACGAGTTAGCCCAAGTTTCTGATATCTGTGATAGCATGACTAAGGGCAATTACCCGAGCGCGATGCAACCACCAACTGTCGCGCCTAGCAGGTTTCCAGTCCACTGGATTGCTCTCCACATCCCCTTGTCTCTTTCCTCCGGGTATGTGTTCGCCATGTAAGCTATTAAGGTCAATTTCCACCCTCATAGCCTAGGAGAAGAGAGGCCAGCACATACACGCAGTTGTCCAAAGGCATCCAGCGCTCACACCGAGGTAAGCTCCTGCAAAGACAGGATACCAGAGGCGACCTGTGACGTCGTAGTACCACATCGCCCCTGGCATGGCTTGTCAGAGATCTAGACCAGTTATGAACTAGGTCCGACTTACCGGTATAAAGCGGATATCCAGTGACTCCGATACAGACGGTGAACCGGGGACCCAGCACGTTTATGAGGGACGATGCTAGAAAAGAGCTGAACACGAAGACTCCGTAGAGTACAGCATTACTGATGTCGGCCCTAGTCACAGAACTTGGCTTGCCACCACCAGCTCCCAACCCCTAGACACGAATAGCTTTGTTAGTGATATGTCGGTTTATTTTCAGGGGAAGTACTTGCCGTGATTGACGCATATAGTCCAGGATTGCAGAACAAACAAATAGTGATCAAGATGATCTGAATAAGGGGGCTAAAGGATCATGGTCATTAGTGACTCAGCTTGCCATATAAAAAGTTAGTGGTTTACTTGTTCAGTCGTAGAGCTGGAAGCTTCTGTTCAACGCTCCCACTATCTATGTGAGTGACGGGTGAGCTTGCTGTCTTGGCCATGATTAGGTCAGTCGATAGATGTGTTTTAGCTAAACTCTGTGCACTAGGCATTGAACGAGTTGATGTCTTCCACCAAGCTTTTGTACCTCGTACCTAAAGTACTGTCAGAACAGCACCCCCGCAGTACGATAAGGCCCATTTCCCCATGATTTGGAGAAGGCTCAGCTGAGATAGATAACAGATTAACTTCGGGTCCGTGGCAACTCGATAAGGGAGCCGAACCGGCAACCTGTCTCTACTTATCATGGTGGTGCTGACAGGGCCTTCGGCCGACTATGGTATCTACCTGAGCAACAAATGAATGGGTACTGGGCGGAGTGTATGACGAACTCAAAATCAATTACAAGAGCATTACTGGAAATTGGCGACCGTAACTACAGTCACCTATCTTACCACTCGTCAGTTACCTAGGGGGATAACTAACCCTTGCTGGTTAGTATTTCAAATATGTTCTCACAGAGCTAGATGATGATTTCGGAAAGTGCATTACGACTCTGATACTCTGGAACACGAGTATAGCGGAATCAAAGGTTAGCTTATCACTCGTAAGACTCAGCACATTCTGTGAATGTTGTTTGCCACCTGGAGGCTACAAATGTGCTTGGGCAGCGACCGCCTTAAGCTACTTAGATAGATATGAGTTGCCAAAGATGCATGTTCTGACTCTGTCACACTCGGTGCGCCAGATTCAACCTCAACCCAATCTCATTCACAGCATCTCATTGCCAAATAACTCCTCCAACACAACGGCTCTCAGGAGTTGGTTCCTTATCGATAAAGCGAGACATCATGGCTTCGCACTCCATCCTAAATTTGTCTGCTTCTTGTACTCTCAGTCTAGTGAGTGGTTGATCAATAGGTACTTGGCAAGACACTTAATCTTCCACCATCGGTGATCAACGACATGCCGTTGATGTAAGCTCCCGCGCGGCTGCACAACCAAAGGATAGCGCCGGCCATGTCTTGCTCATCACCCGTCCTGGTCGCTGGCACCCGAGTCTTCTCCCATGTACCTTCAACATTGTGGCGGGCCACCCTGCCCTCCCCGGTGTACATGTTGTGCGTCATTTCGCTATAGTAGTACCCTGGTACTAAGACATTGGCCCGAATGTCGTACTCGACCAGAACCGTGGACAGCATCTTCATCATGTGTATCACTCCCGCCTTGGCTGGCGAGTAAATCATGTCGTTGAGGAATTTGCGACTGTAGCCACCTGTTGAGGCGGTAGCAATGATTTGTGGGCGAGCAGTAAAATTTTCCTCGGTTGGTGGGTGAGGGCGTGTTCGGTTGCGGGCTTGTAACAGGAGCAGGAAGGCTGCGATCGTAAAGTGGGTCGCTGTCACGTTTACCGCAAACGTGTAGTTCATGGAGTCAAAGCTTGGAGACCAGAGATTTTCTGCAAACTTCTCGAGAGATAGGTACTTGCCGGTCTCGTCGGTAACCGGAGTTTCTGGGGCCATAACACCTGCATTGCAGACCAGCACGTCGAGGACCGGAGTGACGGATTTTACTTGCTCCACGCTTGACAGCAAGCTCTCCTTCGAGGTCACATCGCACGCGATTGGGTGGATGTTCTTGGTAGGCACGGAAGAAGCGACTGCCTCGAGGGATGCAAGACGTCGACCTAGGATGAACACGTTGGCCGCACCATTGAGGGCGAGGGCGCGAGCCATCATAGCACCTAGGCCGCTTCCACCACCAGTAATGACGATGTTGAGGCCATGGACGCTGAAGAGGCTGGCTGCGTCTAGTTTAGAGGTGGTCGTAGTCATGGTTGGGAATGATACAGTGGTTTTGAACAGGCACGGTTTGTAGTTGATATGCTAACTTACACAACGGATGATGACGAATATATTTCCCTATAATACGTTTTCGAGTACCAATAAAACAACGGATCTCAGTGATCCTCGGCAACTGCTTCATCATACGTGTGTATGGTATATCAGAGTTTAGCCCCCATAATTCCGGCCGGCGGTATCTCGGCTCCGAAACCTACCAGATATTGCAGTCGAGGAGTGGGAAATGCACTGTTTACAGGGTTTCCCCTCCAACTTACCTATCATCCGATAGGTTTGACTTCAGCAACTCGCCACTAGCTCATGCGAGATGCAGTTCAAGAAATGCACTCTTCGGCAGGCTTCTCAGTCGTCTTCGATGCCACAGCTCATGATTCGAATGACACTGCTCACCATTCGAGTTACTAAACGAAGCTCAAGATTTAGTTTATGGTATTAGTGCTAGTTATAGAGCTGTTCGTCTTTATTGGCTATTCATGGGCGAGCTCAAAAACAGAGCATCAACGACTTTACTCGTTGAAATTACCATTCGTTGTATCCAACCATCAAAGATGCCTGAGAAGCTATTGGAGTAACCAACCAATGATGGAAATTCGATTTCATCCTTGGTAGTATAAATGAATCGGCGACCAGGAATAGTGACATTATGGAGTTTGTAGCAAAATCTGGTGGTGGGATTAAACATCTCCGCCACTTATCGTTTAAATTTGTTTCCTAAGCATCCGCCGCGGCCAGAAATTCTTGTAGATCGCCTTCCAAGTTTCGCTCTATATCCCCCTCCTGCAGCATGCCGAGGTAATAGGATAGGTCGCGCCCATCAAACTGACGAGTGCTAAAGCCGTTGCCAAAGAAGGCCCATGGATTCATACTCCTATACTCGATGTCGTAGTCCTCAAACCGTGGCTCCTTCATGATCTCCATAAAAACAAGACGTGATGCCGGAAACATACAAAGCTGTCCATCAGCCCGGCCCTGTTTAAACCAGCTTGTACAACCGCTTGACCATGCCGTCCTGGCCAGAAATAGTTCAGCGTGCTCTGTTAATGCTTCAGCGAGGTGTAACTTCGGCGTCAACGACTTAATGTTCTCTTGTTGCATTTTCTTGATGACCTTGATAAAATTCTCGACGATGACTTCCAGGACAGAAAGGAACGAGCCGAGGCCGTGAGGCCCGTATGGCCCGCTGATGGTGAAATAATTAGGCACTGTGTTGTACCAATATGTAAGCTTTCCAGCATTGTGGGGAATATTTGGAGAATGGATGAGACTTACTATGCGGAACACCTATGGAAAGGTAGGACGTGATTTTTTGAGCCCACAAGTCCTGAACGTTGTGGCCGTTGGCAACGATGGGAAATCTAGGGATCCACGTTGTGTTGAAACTGTCACACATCAGCAGCAACTCACATTTGGAACAAAAGTGGCTCATACCCAGTAGCACAGATGATCGCATCGACATCGTGATGCACTCCGTGGCTGTCCACAAACCCGGTCTCGTCAACCTCTAATAACTGCTGTGTGAAGACGGTAACGTGATTCTTCGTCAACGCCTCAAGAAAACCCTCCCCAGGCTGTTGCGCGTGTCAGTATGTTAGAATAGGATCGTGGGTAGCTCGACGTGCTGACTCACCGTGGGTCGCCGACAACCCACCCCAAATGTCTTCGGGATCATAGCCTCGATCAAGTCTTCTCTTTCAGATAGCCGCCGTGTCATTTCTTCGACCGCGTACTTCACCATGGATGAGTAAGATCTTCACAACCAAGGAGTGGAGTCATTCTAACCTGTCTGACTTGGGTAGCTTCCGGTGTGCCTTTGATCATGAAATGGAATCTCTTGTTGAGTTCTGCCTCTACCATCTTGGAGTATTTGAGGCTTAGCTCAGGGTTTTCTTCGAGCATTTTCTTCTGTTTCGCCGAATCTATGCACGCACTGTTAGGCATTCATGGTGCTATCAAGACTTGGACCGCACACACATTCGAAATTCCCTCCGGTAGGTCCAGCATATTTTTGGGCGAACCCAGCAGTCACCCATGTGGGTGAGCGTATCCAGGTATAGAGTTTCTTGACTTTTGGCCCAAGGTCTGAAGTGATTTGTATTCCGCTACTTCCCATCCCAATAACGGCAACACGTTTATCATTTAGATCAAGGCCTTCATCATAATGAGCACTGTGCTGTAGTATTCCCTTAAAAGAATGAAGACCCTTGATGTCCGGCCACTGCCAGTTACTGCAATATCAAGCTTTCAGTCAGTATTCTAGACCAAGAACGGGGAATCCAGCCGAGTTTGACTTGCTTTAAATGGCCACTCCCATTGATAAGCACGTCGCATGTGTCTAGAATGTCAACACCTTCTGAGTCTCGGATGCGAACGTTCCACAGACCATCATCGTTATTCCAGGTGGCGCTGACCACAGTATGGTTAAACTTCATATACGACTTCAACCCATATTTCTCCACAATGTCGTTCAGGTACTGCCAGATCTCGGCTGAACCAGAATAGTATTTTGACCACTTGGGGTTGCGGGCCCAGGTGAACTGATAGCTCACTGATGGGATGTCGCAAGCACAGCCAGGGTAACTGGAAAATAAGCGGTCAATCGATTCTGCATTCTCAGCATGAATTAGTTGGGAATGTTACCGGTTCTCTAACCATGTTCCACCAATATCAGCATTCTTCTCATAGATTTGAACCGTTGTATTGGTCAGCGTGTCCTCCGCGAACTTGGAAAAGCAAATTCCTGATGCACCAGCGCCGATGAATATTACACGCATTGTTCTCATTGTCCCATACGGCTGCTCTAATAGCTTGTATCCTCTCGCGTTCTTTTCAGGCCATAGCTCTGCCGTCTTTGTCATACTTGCGCTATCTGAAGCCATGCGATGCCACTCCTCAAGTGCTGGGGACAGAGATCCTATAATTATGAAATGCTTTTCACCAAGCTTTTGTCCAACCGGAGAGAGGTATTGACGACTCCAGGCTGCCTTTATTCGATCGATATCAGTTCAATCGAACATTAATCAAGCCCTCTCTTATAAGGCCTGTAGTACTTCAACAGCTGTCATCGGCCCGGTCTGACGTGGTTCCTTTACGAGTCATCATGCCACATTTACCGCCTCTGAGTGTTTTAAAAGCATTTGGGTACACTTTGGTGAGAGAACAAATAAAAGCGGGTCATCGGGGAAGATTCTGCTTCCACCCTCATTTGACGGTTCGGCTCCGAAAAACACCTTTCGTTCGACTTGCCGGACTCAATAGAGCTTCCAGAGACCCCATGGCTGACGAGAGCAAATGCCTGCGCCAACACGCGTCGAACACATGGTCCCTGACATTGGGCTATATCATTCTTTTCACAGGCTTACACTTTTCGTTATCGCTCTGTAGGACGTCTCTCGGGGCCGGGATATTAGGCGAGTAAGCTCTGACCCCACATGCACAACCTGAACCGAGATTGCCAGCAGTTGTTCACAAAATCCAGCGAACCAGTTTTACCCACGATTTCAGCTTTGACAGCCGGCCCAAAGAAGAACCTCGGTACTACGATTCGAGTGTCAATATTGAGCGAACGGCTTGTTGTTTGGTGGAACTAAAGACAGAGTGGGCGAGTCTTTGGCAGCCGCGGCCCCGAGGTTTGGCTAACCGACCCCCATAGACCTTCCATGAGTGATAATAGTACGATCATATTACTCTCTGAAACGGCCTCATCGATACATCTCTTGTCGCAAATTCCGGTCCATCAAACAGGGCTGACAACAGAGATCCTACCAAACAATGTCGCCATATTCCGGAGCAAGCGCAAGCGTCCGATTGATCGACCCCTATCATGTCTGGCACTCGGGTCCTATTTTCTCGCAAGTCACCTCAACCACGTGCCCCGCGCGCATCGTGGCAACCTCTGGTCAGGTTGGAAAAGACGTTAATGGCAACCTGATCCAAGACCCGGTGGCTCAGATAGAGCAGGCATTTCTGAACTTGCACAAAGTACTGGCTGCTGCGGGAGCCAGAGTGCAAGATATTTTCAAACTAGTATGGTATGTGGTCGACCACGATCCGAACAATCGTCTATACAGGGCACCCCTTATCAAATTCTTGAATGGGCACAGACCAGCTACTACACTCGTTCCCGTCCCCACCTTAGACAGCCCAGGCTTTATCTTTGAGGTCGAGGCGTACGCTGCGGTTGAGCAATGCCCAATTCAAAAAGTTGATGTCGTTGTCGTTGGTGCGGGTCTCAGTGGCCTTAAAGCAGCCTACGATATCCAAAAAGCAGGATACTCGTGCCTTGTCGTCGAGGCGCGAGACCGCGTCGGCGGTAAGACGTGGTCTGTTGATCCACTTGGAAATGGTAATTACATAGATCTTGGCGCAGCTTGGTTTAATGATACAAATCAGTCGTACGTACACGAACTTGTCATGTCCCTAGGGCTGTCAATGGTTGAGCAGTACACTATTGGCAGCGTCATTCAAGAAGATCTGGGAGGAGGTCTGTCTACGTTCGCATATGGGACTACGCCTTCGGTATGCTGGAACAGAAACACTAGTAATAAAACTAACGATTTATCCCAGGCATTGGCAGAAGCTGGCGGAGCCGAGAACATATCCTCTATACTCAACTTAACAGAGACTATATGCCAAAATATAGATATTCACAATCATCTAGGGACTGAGACAGACCTGGACAAATATACTTTGGAGGCATGGGCCAGGAAAGAAGGGGCAGGTGAGAGTGCGCTTGCAGCTGTGCGAGTCTGGACTCGTGCTATGCTCGGCGTTGAGCCTTCCGAACTCAGCGCTTTATACTTTATGGACTACTGCAAAAGTGGAGGAGGATTGATTAGAATGAGATCTGACAAGAGAGATGGAGGACAGCACTTCAGACTAACTCAAGGTACGTTTTTCAATATGCCAGTCTTTTGGCGGACTCTAGTGGTATCCAGGAATTCAGAGTAATGACTAATAGGTACCCAATCAATTTCCAAGGGCCTGGCACACTTATTAGCCTCAGGGTCAGTCATCTTGAATTCTCCCGCTCGATCTATCGAGCAGCTGCCAGAAGGGGTTCTTGTATCGGCTGGTCGTGGCGATATTCTTTGTCAACGGGTTATTGTCTCGGTCCCTACTCCTTTATACAAGGAGATCACCTTCTCGCCACTTCTCCCCGAGGCTAAGCAGGCCCTCAGCCAGTCAAATAAACTAGGCTATCAGCTGAAGGTAATGATTGTTTACGCCGAACCATGGTGGCGTGCCGGTGGTTTGTGTGGACTGATGCAGTCATTCGAAGGTCCAGTCGCGGTGACACGAGACAGTAGTGTTGAAGGGAAGCAATACTCATTAACATGCTTTGTGCCTGGTGACTCAGGGAGAAAACTAGCTTCTGGTACTCAGAAGGAGCGGTTCGATGCGGTGCTAGCACAGATTGCGCGTGTGTTTGGACCTTTCGTTGGCGGCAAAGTACCACAACCGCTTGCTATGGCAGAGCATGAATGGGCCAAGGATCAATGGGCTCAAGGGTGCCCTTGCCCAGTTTCACCTCCTGGGGTCATGACACAGTTTGGACATGCTTTAAGAACTCCTCACGGAAAGGTGCATTTTGTTGGAACGGAGACCGCTTTCGAGTGGAAAGGATACATGGATGGAGCAATTCGTTCCGGAGAGAGGGGAGCAAAAGAAGTCATTCATATGCTAAGCAGACCCAACATCTAGTGATGACCGTCAATGGGGGGACAGAGTTTCGGGTAAAAGCGCAAGGAGAAGGACTGAAGGTTTAACAACCAGTTACAGTGGGCAAGATCACTTAAGAAAGATAGGTATAGAATGGAGCTGCAAAAATACCGTCGAAAATTACGGGATAAGAGACGTAGGCGTTGAGACTAGTTAGCAACTTATAACCCTCTTTTTTGTTCCACTTTCTTCTCAGCTTTACAGTAAAGAATTTTGTCCCATCATTGTACATGCAATCCTCGGAGTGAGACGAGTGAGTTTTAAGTCTTGTTACACCTAGGACCAAGTCTTCGGCGCCAATGCAACCGTCCATCTTTCTGGTGGACAGTAAGAGCTACTCCACTTGTTCGTCGTCCCGAGTAGAAGGAATCGATTTCATTCCACTAAAAGACGAGCTGTGTTACATATGCCCTGACCATGAATGCGATGGTCTTCGCTTCTCTTCTTGGAGCAATTACTTGCGACACTTAGAAGAACGAGCGGGCCTCACGAAACCCTTTTTCTGCGATCTCTGTGGCGGGAATTTCACAAGCGCACACGCCGCATCAAAGATGCCAGAGATACTGGCCCGAAAATAGATCACACATTTGAAGTCCGCTCTTCTCACAGAAAATTCGACCCTTCAAACACGACCTTAGATATAGCATGAAGTTGGTGATACACTCCTTGCGTGTGGCTCTATCGTGAAATGGTGAGATTGTTATAGACATATGCCTTGATTATAGGATTATAGATTGACATTCATGCCACCAACACCAAGGCATTTCATTCCCCAGCTGACTTCGAGCCAGATTTAATTGCAATTCAATTGTTTGAAGAAATTTCCCACATACGTACTGAGCAGGTGAACAGGAATCGAACTCTATACTCTTCACAGATATGTCTAAAACGCTGCAGCTCTGTAATAACATCTCTTATTACTTCACTTGGGATGGGAATTTTCTCCCCGGTATCTGGGTTGAATTGGGCGTCATAGAGCGATATACCTACCCTGTCAACAAAAGCTGTGGGTAAAATTCGCGCTGTGGGAGGAGATAGGTCTGAAATGGAGAAGCGAATTCCATTGCTTCATCCACGAGGTTCCGTCAGAGGGGCTGAGACCGCAGACTCGCTTGTAGTTGGAGGTTTGCTGTATACGCACCTTCCCATGTCCACCAAGGCAGTTAAGTAGTCATATTTAGTTGGATGGTAGTGGCGCATTTTTACAGATTAAGAAGCATATGCTAATCAAGGCTTAAGATGTTAGTCCGATTAGGCAAAATCTCAATATATTTCTACTGTGTCTGAAAAGGTAAAGATTATAGCTATGACGAAACGAAAATTGCAGGTTAAGCAGATACCCTGAGCTCGGAATGAGCCGGGAGACATATGCTTGGCTTGAACATCATAATTACGTCTATTATTTGCCTTTTCGACCGCTGTGCCAGTAATTAATATTGTAAGAGTTCTTGTACATATGTAAATGAAGGGGTCTGTGATATCATAGCCGCCTCCATATGGAACCTATATAATTAGTGGAATAATGAAAGTACGGGATCTTCTCGAGCTGATGATGAGCTGACTACCCTTTCCTCTCCCATACCTTCCAGGATATTTATCTGCGAAATTCCTAGAGCCTTTAGAGATACTATTTTCTATTTGGTAAAAGGCTTTTGCGGCCCAGAACCAGTAATTTTTAAATATATTTTGCGTCCGTCATCGTCGGTCCCTTCGCCTTCCAATATCGAAGTCTCATGGGCCATGGTTAGTGATGTCAGTTTATCCTACGCCGACAAAGACAGACGTATTCGGAACAGCACAGAAAAACGCTCTCCAATACTCAGTTTCTTATGGCCGCTGATCACGAATCTGTTAAGACTGTGATCACCGCGATTGCCATTGGAATCAACAGCTGTCAGGTCCGCTGACCATCAATTTTCTATCGTGTGAGCGACGATCACTATGCCACCCACGGGCGGGCGGAAGATGCGTGGAGGATGATGAAAGTTATCTCTTTTCAGTGATGATACTACAACCACAAATTAATGAGACAAGAAAGGGCCCCAAAGAGCGTGGAAGAATTTTGCGGAAACAATCTCAGGGGAGATTGACGTTAAGAGCGAGGTCGTGGATCTATTTGGATATTTACTCCTTTTCGCTCGCTGCGAGGCTCGGGCTGATGACTCGATCGCTTCGTCTATTCGTGAGACTAGGAGAGAAATCACTTGCATATAGGCGGAGTTGCCCTTCTGGCGGGGTATGTGAAAAGGCCAGCTTTATGGGCCTGGGAAATAGTGCGCAGAATTTGTATGGGATGTCGTCATTGCTCGGGCTGACTTGCTCGGCACCTTTGCATGAGTGGTGTGTGAAGCTTGTAGATGTGCTCGGGCAATATTTCGCAGTGCTCCAAGACCGCGTGTTCTGTTTACTCCATCAATGAACGGATGCGATTTGCCGCCCTCGTGACCAGGGGCACGTACGCCTCGGCTTATCAGCCTCACATCAGCACGGGCATCTAGGTCCATCTGACCATTGAAAATCGTGCGTATAGTGATAAAATTAGTACTACTAGAATCTTCCCAGTAAGCACCGTTCAAATATATTCAGTTTTAACATATTAAGTAAGAAACTATGGGTGCCAGCAAGCTGGGATAATACTTCCTATGTAGTTACTAGTTAGGATTATGTTGACGCCTACGTGGAGCGACCCAACTGCTATGACGTAGTTAGTCCCACCAGATTTCGAGATAAAAGACCTGTCCGCGCTACCAATCGCTCGAAGAATATTTCTTCGTGCTACACTCCAGCTAGTCTACCAACATGGTTCAGCGTGAAGAGGAACAAAGTCCACAAGCCACTGCCAGAATTACCACAAAACTCCCTGACCCACAGAAGAACCCAAAGCGGTTCAGCGAATTCGACTTGCTAGGCAAGGTATTCATCGTAACAGGCGGAGGACGGGGGCTAGGGCTATCATTGGCCGAGTCATTAGTTGAGGCTGGGGGTCAAGGTGAGTCCTTAGCCTTTCAAATATCGAACTCGTTTCTGAGCGTTTCTGTTTATTTGCAAAACTTCGATAGATGGTCCCTACATTTCCAATTCTGTGAACGAGGAGAGGTACAGTTCTAATGAGCACAGTCTACTGCTTGGACCGCCTCGCAGAACCAGATGAAGAGTTTAATGAAGTCGCTGCCCGTTTTGCACCTTCATTTCAAGGCACTCTCCGATATGACCACGTGGACGTCCGCGACACGCTTGATCTCGAGAGAGTCATTGAGTCGATTGCATGCAAGCACTCAAGGCTTGACGGCCTTATCGCCGCGGCAGGCGTTCAGCATATCACTCCCGCTCTCGAGTATGCTCCTGACGAAATGATGAGAATGATGGACATCAATTACAAGGGTGTCTTTTATGCTGCCACAGCATGTGCCCGCCAGATGATCCGGTATGGATGCATAGGCAGCATCGTTCTCGTAGCCAGCATGAGTGGTTTTGTCGCCAACAAAGGGCTGATAACTAGTGTGTACAACTCGAGCAAAGCAGCTGTGGTCCAGTTGTCAAAAAACCTGGCGATGGAGTGGGGGCGGGCGATTAAGCACAAAGACGGCGAAATCATTGGGGGAATCAGAGTAAATGCCCTGTGCCCAGGCCATATAATCACGCCGATGGTCGAGAAGAACTTCGAAGAGGCTCCGGGGTTAAAGGAACTCTGGGAGAAGGAAAACATGTTGGGCAGGTTGTCGTCTCCCGCAGAGTACAGAGGAGCAGCGCTTTTCCTGCTCAGCGACGCAAGTACCTTTATGACGGGGGCTTCGTTGGTGATTGACGGTGGTCATACCGCTTGGTAAGTAGTCAGCCTTGTTTCCAGTGGAAGACAGAAGACGATGAAATGTCTTTTCCGGCCGTTGTAAAACCAATGAAGCCGTAGAAGGCATGGTCTCGTCAAAGAAGCGATTTGGGAACACTATCCAGATATATGTTCTTCAGCCCATTATGTTATGTAGTCCATCTATCGCCCACTCTGGTGACCAAGTCCTTCAATAGTTTCATAGTCTGCCACCTTTTCGGTCATGGCCCCGTATTGCTTCTTGACGCGATCTCGCTTGCCATCCCGCATAGAAACGAGCAATCTTGAAATCTGCACAATGTCTGCATATTGCTCGTTCGCCGCTGCATTTCGTCTCTGTGTCGACATGGTTCGCATGCGTGCGTGAACCGCTGTCTTGTTCCCAGCCTACCTGCATCTTCGCCCGCGGAATCCCTGGATCTCTTTAATCTCGGAACGGCGACTTTGGCCGCTTTTTGAGAGGACTCGGCTGCCACGGTTCGTGGGGAGGGCGGAATGCGAAACTTGGCATCGCTGATAGGTTCGTTTACCATAATTCATAAACGGTACAATCAATAGTTGTCCGCCGAGCCAAGCTCAGGTCATTGCGACTGGTATGATTTGTTTCTTCCGGTGGACGATCCATCTCTTGCTCAATCTGACGCATGCGGTGCGGGTTCACATTTTAGTCGGCAGACGCAAAAGCGGCGCGGGTTTTCTGACTTCGTGGAACGAGAGAGGTTTCTGCGATGTATATGAGTCGTAGATAATCCCTCCGCATGTAGCCTCCTAGCCCTAAATCTCGGCAGGCTTGGGTATTTGCGAGTGGTTGTTTGTATGCAGGCTCTTCCTCAGTCGCTCATATTGGCCGTGTCAGTGCTCTTCTCCATGACAGGTATCGTGATGTGAAGCACCGCATCCGAATTGGACAACATCTCTGAAGGGGATCACGCGAGCAACACCTTCCTCATCGAGAATCAGACGAAGGTGACGTGGGGTTGAGGGTCGCGAGAGGTCGACTCGGCCGGCAGGCCCCTGGGTTATGGGCACCGCTCGTCTCGTTTGCTCTAACGGATGCAATGGATGTGTTAATAATATCTTGGGCCACCCCAGGTATGATACGGTGCTCGTAGCACTGCCTTCTCGTTGCAATCTCCGCGCAGGGGTGGTTCACGAAACCCATGGCGTTGTCCCGTTGGGCTCGCTGGGGGAGGAGATCTTATGAGTAGTGCAGTAGAGTCCGTACACTCGGAGGAGTTGTCTGAGCGGAGATGAGTATGCGTATGCATTCCTGCTGATCGGCTTTATAATTTTGCTGGAATCGTTAGAAGAGCTGAGAGTAGGGCTGGGGGGTGACAGAGGGCTATAGTTCTCGAGTTGGGGGGGGATGCTACCCATGCTGCTATCGACGCGAGCCTGGTGATAGGGCGCAGGCTTCAGTAGGAAGCTCTCCCGCTCACCGAACTCCTTCTCATCCGACCCGCTCATCTCGAGATCCTCGTACGTCTTGTTCGACATTGAGGTTTCATCGTGGGATCGAAGGGTGCATAACGAAAGGCACGAGTTCGGCTATCTCATAGGATGACGGAGATGAGAAAGAAAAAACCTGATCGCTTGGGGGCCTGCTTGATACGAGAAGGCCGTTCGTCTTCGCGAGAAACAGATGCGACAATCGAGACGGCAGGTCTATAACTTAAAGTCAAATACGACAGGAAGCGAGTAAAAAGAGAGGGTTGATGGGACCTCGTCAGCAAACTTGACAATTTACTCTCTTTGATGCTGCAGAGGAAAGGGCTGAGTTGCGAAGGCGACGCGTTAAAATCTAGGTGTAATAGACACGAGGTTTGGCGGATGAGGATAGGCCGAGTGGTTAATCCCCTGGCTTGAAATAGGGGGAGTGTGGCTTGACTCAGGCTTAAATTACGAAACCCCATTGTGGCCCATCACTATCGCCGTATTGTGTGACGGGATATGCAATTAATGACCTAAGTCGCTTGACGTAGTATGTAGCCCATATGGTAGATATCATAAGAAATGGTGGCAGATAGAGGTTGACATGTTTCGGGAAGGCTCTTGACATTTCACGAAGAACGGTGGTAGAGTTACTAGAGTACCATGAAGAATAGTGATGATGCTATGTGAAATAGTGGGATTTCTCCAAAGAACAATGGAAGTTGAATGAAAAATTTGTAGAGAGCTCCACGAACAGCGGAGGCAGAGCATTACTAGGAATAGTGCATTTCTCTTGGAAAATGGTGCTATCAAGTAGGAGTTTCTTAAAAATAAGTGGTAGGTCCATTATAACTGGGGGAGTTAGAAGTTTGTCGGCCTTTTCAATAAAAGTCTAAGGTGCCGGGTCGGACGTTTGATCCGGCCTTCAAAGCCACTAGTCTCATCCACCAATAAGGAACAAGGACCGGAAAGATTCTCCAGGCATTCGAGAGCCGCGATTGTGGTTGACTGCAAAGCTACGTCAATATAGTTCGAATCCAGTACTAGCGTTTTAAGTTCGGAGTGACTTCCCCAGGCGTTGAAGGATCAGTCTTTATGTCCCGATCACACAAGACACCTTCGCATGTAGCAACTAACTAGGGTAACGAAAAATCCGGCGGGCTTGGCGTGCTAGCTGTGTGATGGGGCCTGTTCTTCCTCGTTTGCTTCACCATCTATGATCCATGACCCCATCCACGCCAGAGAAACAGTTTAATTCATGTTCAATGTGCACCGAGAGGGATAACTCCCGGATTCGCACTGCCTTTGATAGGGCATCTAGTACGACTGACACGTCACTACCTTTGGGCTTTGGCTCATTTGTAGACAATTACGTTGATCTCTTATCTATTCTCGTGTCGGATCCAGAAACTATTTCGTTCCACACTTCTCGCGCCCCAATAGGTTGGATCTTTGGGCCATAAACCCTTCCTTTAGATCTCAACAACCGCCTTCATGACACGCATGCAGTAAGGCGCAGCACATATTGGTTCAACCTGCATACAACCGTGGCACCCTTCAAGCGACACTTCGACACCACTTCCACAACTCACAGATACATGAAGCCTAATCACTATCACGCCCGACCACACGCCGCACACATGCCGCCAATTTGATCTCGTTATTTCTTGAGACACCAACTTGGCCATAAATGCTTTGCAACAGGTCCGTCTTTACACCTTTTTCTACACTCATTTCGCTTCCGAGGAAGCAGCCTGCATATTGACACTACAATGATTCCCGTAGGTGTAATTCTCAGAAGCCAGATGAGGAGTTGTACGCGTCCTTCAAACGGACCTTTCCTAGTATATGCTCTGGATCATCCTCAGCTCTGTCAAGGACGACGGAAAGGCCTACTTGCAGATCGCCACCTTTAAGAGAGCCTACTGTAGATGAGCCCACCGAGTCGCAACGGTATCCATTAGTCCACCTATCTTCACTTTCTGGTCGCCTTGAAAGTTATCAATCTTCCTGTAATGTCTCCAACCGACCTGTCGCCTGAGTACGATGGCGCTGACTATTTTAATAGACCTTTTGATAGTCAGTTAGACGCCAAGGAGCAAGATGAGACTCCCAACCCTTTCATCGATGCGTGGAGATTGACACCATCACGGATGGATCCCAACTCTTACATGTTCGCGAATCAGCCTTCCAGCTACTGTATGTCCACCCCAGGCGGGTTTGGGGCTCTCTACCCCTTCCAGGCAGGCGACCTTCACATACCTGGGATGGGTATGAATACGCCGCTGTCCCTACATCTCGCCCACAAATTACACGCTCACGACTCAATTATGCAATTCCAACGGTTTGATCCTCACTTCCTACATCAGCCGCACACATTCCAGGATGCATTCTACCACCAGCAACCTCAACAACTTATTCTCCAACTGCAGCCGGAGGCCTTTGCACCTCAACCTGGGTACGCGGCGATGGACGAGTCTCCCAACAAAACCGCCTCAACACAGGCCGAATTAGGCATCGTACCATCAACAACAATTCAACCTCCACAACCGTCTATGTCAGGGAATATCGGCTTGCAGACATTGCCCATGGCGGGGAAGTCAGTCTCTTCGTTACGAGGAGATACCTGCGCTGACAAGACGAGCAGACTTCGATTTCATACGACGCTGAACGCTCCGACTGCCATGGTTCGACACTCCGACGAGATTCCCATCACTTATCTAAACAAAGGTCAAGCATATACAATGTCAATATTCGATACGACACCACCACTTCTACAGCCAAATGTCGCTCTAAAATATCGTACTTATGTTCGAGTCTCTTTCGAAGACGAACAGCAAAGAGCCCAACCCGGAGCTTATTGGAAACTTTGGAAGGAAGGTCGTGCTTTGAATGAAGCCCATCAACGGGGTGGCAAATTACTAGCGGTGGAATATATCGATCCAAACCGGCTGGAGGTTGAAGAATCGCGCCAATCTCGAATTCAGCTCGAAAAGGCATCGTTTGATGGATTTTGTGTGACTTGGTTTCCCGTTGGGGACCCGAACTGCTCGATATCTATCCGATTCAACTTTCTGTCTACGGACTTTAGTCACTCCAAAGGCGTCAAAGGTACTCTACTCCTACTTTGTGCAAAGACCGAACTTCTCACCACCCAGACGACTGCATCTAATGAACCCGAGGTCTGTTTCTCGAAAGTTAAACTATTCCACGACTATGGCGCCGAGAGAAAGCTTTCCAGCGATATCGCACACATCAAGAAGACAATAGGCAAGCTTAAACAACAAATTGCCCAAGCTGACGCTGGGCTTGGAAATGCTGGAAAGAGGACGAGAAGCGGATCAATGGCGGAAAAATCCAATTCTCGAACCGGTAAAGTCTTGAAACACAAACGAATCTGCTCGTTAGACACGGAAGCAGATGGTCCAAAGTTCTCAGTAGAGGATGATCTTCAGATGGAGCTGTTGAGAATGCAAGGCATGCTCTCTTCCACACAACCTGTGAGCGTCCTTTCCTTGCGCGGTGAACCTGAGGATGATCCAGATCGTCATCTGGTCAAACTTCCTGTTGATGACTCTGAGATGATAGAGGCTGTTCGTACGACCACATGGGTGTCGAGACAGAGTGCTTCCGACTCGCCAATATCCAACACAGCTCCTCCATCTACTACCTCTACATCACGGGCAACTCGAAAACAAAAACACTCAGAGATGCGACAATCAGCCATACAAGAGGAACCGGACAATTATCACATCAATGAGGGTAGTGTAAGAACATCGGTATCAGCATCTCGTCCAGTCAAGATCTCTAAGACAGACGTTGAATCTACATCTAATCACTTTGCGTTCGACGTGGACAGCGGCTACCAGCTTCCAACAGTGAGGCCAGTACGACCAGGTGAGTTTTCAACATCGGCAAAGAATACCAAGCTGATTCGACTACAGTTGCATGCCTTTATGTACGACAAAAGGACGCTGTTAACGAATACTACCGTGCCGTATATGTCATGCAACGGACGGTCAAAGATCTGATCAACAACATATCACGAAAATTTGATATTGACCCTCATCGAGTTACTCAGGTGACGTACGTCAATTCCCAAGGCGTACATATCATGGTCAATGAAGACATGGTTCGAGAACTTCCAGAAGGGCAAGATATGATTGTCGAATTTGTGCCAGTACAGACCGACCAACCAGTCAACCAAGAATTTATCGCGCTAGCTGTAACCGAGGCGATGGTCGATGGAGAGATCATCCCCGCGGAAGGTTGGATATCTGACCCTCTGGAGATGTGGCTGAACTTTTGACCCATTCTTGAGGTACCTGGGAGACCCGGAACTCATTTGCATAGATGCTGGAGATCGTATCCATTGTCCCGGTAATGATCACAATCAGCTTGCGGGTAGCGATGATTGCCCAATAGATCTTTCTTCAGGAGATGCGGTCGCCGCCAGTGGCTGTGGCCTGGCGAGATTGATTATCATTCCAGCCAATTTTGAACAGATCCTGGAGGACGAAGACACGCGGAAGAGGCGAGTAAGACCGCTCGTGTCGGGTGAGCGCTGTTCGTTCCGGTAATGAACTGACCTGTGTACAGTATGTGTTGATGTAAGATCGGATGCAACCCCTGAGACTCGCAATTGCGCAACGGATGGTGCCCGTATGAGGTATCACGAACATGAGTTTCAGGTAACTGACAAGTCTAAACACTCTGCGATCCTTGAATGATAAAGCTCTCACGGTTGAGAACTGTCTACATAAACCTACATGCCGCTCTTATGTTCTGAAGATTCCGATGAGTACCCATTAGGAACCCGTCATCTCACTCCTTGATGTTCAATCTGTAGGCTAAACGGCGATCTCCCCCTTTTGTAAGTTGTTTTGGAAAACAAGTCTTAAGCTGTGCTTTGCCACAACCTTCGAATGGGGTGAGCTTCCATCCAGACTCATACAACCTCACTTCGAATTGCTACTTCTTAGTGAGCCTTCCGATATAAAACCCCCTCATCCGGGATCCTTATGCCTACAAAGGCTCTCCTTTCGTTATCCTGCGGCTTCGGCGACATTCAGTGCCGTGACAAGCTGGTCGCAAATGGCTGACAAGTGGTCATCTATGCCCGAGGAAGGACGAAGACGAAGTGGCCGAAGTCAGTCTTCAAGTGCCATCAATTTAACCATGTGGCTGCCCAGTGTCCATCACCGCAACCAGTATGCAGCCGATGCGCTGGTGCCGGACAGACCCATCGCGAATGCACCAACGACCGAGTCAAGTGCGCCACATGTGATGGCTTTCACTCGACGTTCGACCCGAGTTGTCGACTATACAAAGCGGCATGTGAGAAGCTCGTCCCACGTCAATCATGAGGAAGTATTTCCAGATTCTTCAGGCCAACCTACGCAAGACGCCCGAAACGCAACTAAGCTTACTGAATGACGAAGACCTGCACGATTTTGGACTATTGCTGATTCAGGAACCACAATGCTGGCGCATTGACAGCAGCAGGTGATCACGGCACCACAGCACCACGCATACTGGACTCCATACGTCCCGGCAGTGCACCATGAGGAGGGCCGCTGGCCTTTCCGGAGCATGATATGGGCACATCGAGACCTCGCCGTCAAGCAAGTCCCGACATCATCGCCGGACATCACGGCGGCGATGACCGAGGTGGAAGGACGCAAGATACTCGCCATATCAGTCTACATACCACAGCAGCAAGAGGATGTCGGGGATGCCCTGTCAGCGTATCTGGACTGCATCAGAGGGGTCATCGAGAAGACGCGGCGAGAACAGAGTCCACAACAAATCGAGGTCATCATTGCGGGAGACTTTAACCGACACGATCAGCTCTGGGGAGGAGACGAAGTAGGAACATCACCCGGAAGGAGAGGCGATTATCGATCTGATGTCCGAGCTGGAGCTCAACAGCCTGCTCCTGCGAGGCACCATCACATACGAAGGCGCAAGGGGACAGAGCACGATAGATCTGGTCATGGCTTCTACAAGCCTATCGGATGACTGCATGCAGTGCGATACCCATCCCAATGAACATGGATCAGATCATCGATCCATTCAGACCAGCTTCAATCTCTTGCGCCCAGAAACGACACTCAAGCCACGCTTGTTGCTGAGGCATGCCGCGTGGGACCGCATCCGACAAGCGGTGACCCAACAACTGGAATAGCTGCCGGACGAGGTGGACGACCTCGACCGGTACACCGATCACTTTGTCAGCATCGTCACTGAAACCGTGCAGAAGCACACACCGTACACCAAACCAACATCGTACACGAAGAGATGGTGGACCGCGGATCTGACCCAGCTACGACGCAACTACACATACTGGAGGAACCAGGCCCGCTCTCACCGACGACAAGGCGTAGGGGATGATGCACTGGAGGCCCGAGTGCTCGAGCTGAGGAGAGAGTACCACCGGAGCATGCGGGTGCAGAAGAAACAGCACTGGGACACGTTCCTAGAAGATAGACAGAATATTTGGCAAGCGTGCCACTACCTCCAGCCCGACTCGACAGCCGCATTCGCCAAGATCTCAGCCCTCAAGACGGGAGAGAGAGACGGTCGAGGACGACGAGGGCATCGCCCGAACGTTGATCACTGCATTCTTCCCGGAGGGCCGAGCCGTGTCAGCGACGTTAGGCGACCCTGAAGATTATGGTCAACTCCCAACCGTCCCACTGACGATGATTGAAGTAGAACGAACCATCCATCACGCCAGCTCCTGGAAAGCGCCGGGAACCGATAGCATGCCGGCGGTGGTGTGGCAGAAATTATGGGCGGAAGTGAAAGAGGTCATCTTTCGTATCTTCCGCCAGTCACTAGCCACAGGGCGAGTAACGGCTAACCAACACCAAGTCCGGCTCAACCCCAACCGCGAAACGGCTTCTAACACTCGAGCTTTCGTATTCCGGAGCGTCAGCTGAAGGGTCAGCTGAAGCAACTCCTCATTTTATGCCAATTGAAGGCACGTAAAAACAGCAAACGAAATGCACTATTGTGGTCATCAGATCAAGTAGAAACTTAAAACAGCTCGAGCAAGGCTGAAAGTCTTGATCAGGCTCCGGTAACATGTTGACCCTAGAAGCCTTAAATGAAGGGAAAGGTGAATCGATGATGTAGTGATTGCTCGATTTCCGAAATTGACTGAATTATTATTACTAAACAGTGACGTGAAAAATCATTCCGTTCTTTGCAAACGTTTACCCTAAACAGTCTACAGCCCATCTTCGGAAATTTGCACCACAGGACGTTACAACTAACGGATGCATAATTTCTAATACGGAAGCCTTCGTATTAGGGCTTTTTCAGCTGGAATCAGCTCCAGTCATCGTGGCGCCCGGAGAACCAGTACAACATGTGTGAACGCAAGGAAAGACGACATAAAAGGGGACGTATTATTGTATCTTCCTATGAAACCACGATGGACTCCGTCGGGTGCAGTAATCTTGTAGAGTATGAGGGTATTATTTGCGATTTCTTTTACCAGTCATTGGTTGATAGCGGAATTGTTTCGCAACTCTAAGAAGATTGATCGGAGGACGCCGCGCGAATCGCAGAGCATCGAGAATCCTGGATGAGCCATCCACGGTTATCTTTTTATGTAAGGCTTCACCACATTACATCAGGACGAAGTTTTAGCAAGTAGTCCACTACGGTGAGGTATACTGTAGCCCTTGAGCGTTATCAAGTTACCCAATTTGTCTCAGTGACTCAGACCCTATTGGCCGCTATAGGCGGTGACTGGCGCGGGCCAATCAAAAAATT